ATAAAACACTGTCTGTAGTTTACACGAGTAGTACACATTTAAATAGAACACTAACGGTTTAAAACGCGGGAGACACGTCCCCGTGGTCCCCGTGACCACGGCTGCTGCAAAGCATCCGAAACTTCGGGCCGTAGTTTAAATTAATTTTCAAACAAGTTTTACTTAAATATATCGCGTTTTAAACCGTTAAAGTGTTTTATTTTAATCTCATATATAATAGAAATATGTTTATTCAGAAACGACAACTACAAGATTTACATTCACCATACATCTATATATTATAAATGGAGAAGTAACCCTGTCTGTTTGTCTGTCCCGCTTTAACTCCGAAACTACTGAACTGATATAAATGAAATTTAGTACATACACAGATAAGAACATAGGAGAGAGATACTTTTTAATGCCAATAAAGGGTTGATAGGGGTTGAAAAGGGGGATGAAAGTTTGTATGGAAATTTGTGGTTTTTGAAGCTAGAACAATGAAACTTGAATGAAAGAATAAACGTAACTTACGAGGATAAATAATTATTCCCCTTCATATTTCTCTAGGTTTCTTCGCTTTAATTACTGACAACTCGATGTTTATAGCCATCCCCGATAATATAAATAATCTAAACAACACAAAAAATCAATTACAACCAGTAGTTCCCGAGATTAGCGCGTTTAAACAAAGAAACACACTCTTCAACTTTATATATTAGTATAGATTTGTAATATATAGTGTTTTATGTTTTTATAACGTAAATATTTCGTTATTTTTATTTTTTATAGATACCAAGATTATTACGTAACTTAATGATTACGGTCGTCTTATCAAAGCAGGATATAAGGATCGTGCCACATCACAACACGACTTAAGAGATAAATCTTCAAGATTCCATCTGTAATTGTTCATTGGCTACAGATTCGTAACATCATAATAGCTGTGGATCTTTCAACAATTATTGGGCGCTATTATTAGAAAGGTATCTCAAATCGCTATAGGAAGTCATTAATTTATTGAGGAAGTACCTTCACGTATAGAAGTTCTTAGTTTTCGACACGCCAAACTTCATAGACAATTATGATATACTAGCTGTGTCGGCGATTTCGTCCGCGTAAAATAGTTTTTTTTATTCAAAATTATTTTGCAAGCCAGTGTGGGAGACATTTTTTTAGATCATCTACAAAGGAATCATTCATTCATACATATTTTTTTGGTATCTAGAAGCGTTTTCGCGGCATACGCCTATCGGAAATTTATAAAGACGAATATATTCGTTTTTTCTACACATCCCACTGTTAGCATTATAATGTTTTATAGCCTTAAAGCCTTCTTGGATAGATGCTCTCACCAACAGAAAAAGAAAGACTTTTTAATTCAACCCAGTACTTCCTGTAATTAGAGCGTTCAAGCAAAATATACTCATCAGCTTAAAATACTAGTAAAGGATTCGTATCGTGCCAATATTTTGGCCCACAGCTGGGAACATCTCCTATATAGCAGGAGGGTGTAAGTGGCTGTGAGTGGGCGGGCTCTTGAGACTACTATCATTGATTAGTCATTAAAACCAGTACTATCTTGGTAGGGTGACAGTACAAATTTTCAAAATAAAATTACAATTAACATTTCGCGTGTTTTTGGTTTGAACCATGACCTCGTAATTTGTAACCGAGTGTCAAAATGAAGGAGACACCCAGATCAATCTGTTCTATTAGAAATAATTTCGTTTATTAAAAAAATATACTTGTTCAGACTGACACGTAAGACAAAATTTGGACATGGCAAAAGGTCTTTAGGTTCTCATACTTTAAAATGTCGCTTGCAAAATACTCTAGGGGTTTGAAACTTTAAACAATGATGTACAGTTCTAGATGGTGCAGAGATTCTTAAACAGTGTTTAATTTAGTTTATTTGACTTTATGTAATTCGATAAATGTTTATTTTACAAACAAGAGTTTTACAAGTATTGTATAAATATATTTTGTTTATAAATCTCAATTCTCGAAATTCGTAAATGGCGTCTGAAATTAAATTTAACATAGATGGACAGGACAGTCGTCATACCATCACTGTCGTAGAGTCATCACGGCGTTGCCATAGTTACGCAGGACGTAGGCGTAATCTTTTACGAGACTCTTTTACTTACTCTTGTAAGAGATAATAAATGTATTACTAAACATGTTTTATATTCTCCCTACAAAATCATTAGATTCGATGTTGCTGTTATGAGCGCCAATGATGAAAAAATATATATTATAAGAGGATGTAAATAGCAAAGTAACTTTACAAGGAATGCTCCTAACAGAGTTAGATTTTACGCTTTTTATCATATTCCAATACGTTAAGAACCACACAACAACATAGCTATGCCGCATCTAGAATTTTGTATCTTGTACACGCTGGTCACTTAATAGTAATGCACGCTAAGAACGTCTGACGTAACTTCTTATGTCAAAACAAAAGAAATGCTCAATTAACAGCTTAGTTTCGACAAAATTGATGCTTTAACGTCAGATAATAAATCTTGTTGTTGTTTTATTTAACACATAGGTTTTAATTACTATAATATCGTACAGTGTGTCTTGCGTAGTCTGTTTATTTACCAACATTAACTTACAACTAAAAACTTAATATAGAAGTTGAAAAAATATTAATTAAAAAATAATATTTAAAATGAACGTGTTTCCTCTGTGTGGTGCATAGGGCAGAAATTTTTTTAAATGCGTGTCGGATAAATTATGCTAATAGCAGATCAGATTAAAATAAAACACTTTAATGGTTTAAAACGCGATATATTTAGTAAAATTTATTTGAAAATTACTTTAACTACGGCCCGATGTTTCGGACGCATTGGATCATTCATGGTCTCGGAGAGATTAAAGAGGGAGGGTGTCAAAGTAAAAACTGCTACGCTAGCGCCATCTGTTCCGTCGAAGTTGGTATTTGGCGGTTGGTGACCCGGTTAGTTTCACCAAATACTAACTAATATATAACGCGTTTTAAACAGTTAAAATGTTTCGTTTAAATGTATACTACTCACTTAAACTACAGGCAGTACGGAGATCAGACTCTTCTGCCCTGTTTAAATGAAATGCATATTTTTCCAGAATTCCAAACTGGGATTACTTATACCAATCGCAATGTAAGGCAATGTATTCTGCTAGTATCCTGTCTTAAAGAGTGTTTCTTTTTAATTATATTGTATAATTAAATTAAAAAATAAATAAAAAACTATATAACGACCACTACTACTCTAGAATCATTAAAATCATATAATGCGCGCTTCAACTCGCTTAACGTAATTTTATTTAAATCCTTAAAATTAAAATTTGAAGATGCGCACGAGTTCGATTCCGTATCCGGTCACGACTATTTAAATGTCAAATTCTTGATGTTGCACACAATCGACTTCGATACAGATGTAACGTGACAGCCGTGAATCATGATAGATACGCAGTTAATATAAAAATATTTTATTTTATTAAAGATGTTAAAATTGGTTTTTGTATAATCAATAATGATACTAGAGTACAACTAGTCAAATCTTATAAGAACTGAATTTAAGTACAAAGTAAGCTAGTCACATTAAAATTATACAAATATTGTGTGCATTCATAGTAGTTTAAACCCCTTTACCCCGTGTGGGGCATGAGGGAAAGATATTTCTATGCCCATTCGATCGTTTTATATATAGCTCATTTGATCAGACTTCTGTGCCCTGCCCGACCGAATTTCATGTTTCATACGGTGAAATTATGCGTAGTAAACGCAACGCTATGCACGTTTAACCATTAAGGTACAGAAACGGTCAGCATTCATAGTTACATTATTTAAGACAGCAAAATTTCTATACCACCCATACTTTATATTATAAAGGAGAGTTGTTTGCTTGAGGTAATCTCAGTAACTACTAGTTCGAATTGAAAAATATATATTATATAGATAGACTATTTACCGATGATAGCATTAGGCCATATAACATCCCGCTGCGATCGCTAGGAGCGCAGAAACAAAAAAGGAAGAATTTGTAAGTCTGCGTGCACTGTAAAAGCGGTTTAAAAAACCAAAAGATACAAAGGATGGATTCCCCTTGAAATGATCTAAAAAAATGTCCAAGACAGTATGGGTCTCTCTTTTAGGATTAAGTCGCAAGTACCCTTCTTATGGTAGTAAAATGTGGTCGAAATTTATGCATTATTATCAATTATTTGACACAGTTGTATCAAACTAATAATATTTATTTTGCAAGCAACAAAACGATGTTTGCTGAGTTATAAAACTCAATTTTGTAATTATTATGTTAAAATAATCAAGTCCAATGTATTATTTGAACAAACAGACTGTTTTGCATTCCATTTATTTACATTAATTTGAGGCAAACAGATTTTGCTAATACATTACTGTGAGGTATTTACTACAGCGAGGTAATAGCTAAAGTAGTTTAAATATTATATTAAATACAGCGTGCAGTACCGTGATTACATTTTAATAAATCATAACGGTTTAACACGAAATAGATTAATTAACTTTTAATTTATTTTAACTATAAACGCACGTGTCGGATGGTTATCAGTAGCCATGGTCACGGGGGTCTGATTCAAAGTCGAATCCGCTACACTAGCGCCATCTGTTTCGCCGTAGTGAAACTAACACTTTCTCCGGTGTCCTCTCGTTTACCGGTATCCTGTTTTTTGGGATATATTGTTTTTATTCCCATCTGAAATGTCGGTCCGTATTCAAAATAAATCAACAATAAGTAATATACTCGCGTTTGAATTGTTAAAAACGTCTTATTGAAATGTGAAAATATTATTTTAATCTACACTAATTACAATATTTATTTATTATTTATAAAACACACCACAGGAAATACATATTAATGAGGAAAAATCTTACGTACTAACTTATAGATAAAGGCGGCCTTATCGCTAAGTAGCCATCTCTTCCAGGCAACCTGAAGTACAGGAGAAAAGAAATGGAAAATAATTTATTTAGGACGTATTTATATTATAAATAATTAATAGAATTGTTGTGGTGGTCCATCGTAGCCTTCAAAGCCGTCGTACTCAGGAAATTGAACAGTTTCAATCTTGGGATACACTGAAAAAGATAAAAAGTCATGAAACCTCAAATACAAATTTATTTATGAAAAAAGTGTATTGCTGTTTCCCATATGTACGTCGTTGTCGGATATATTTATGTGTTCGTTTTACTAATATATTTTAAGCGAGAGAGATCAGACTCCTGGGCTCTGCCAGACCGATTTCTGTTTCCCCACGGGGTTTGAAGCCAGGACGATGAAATTAAATGAAAAAAAAGATTTTCACCTTTATTTACTTCACTGGTGTTTAAGACTAAGCATGAGAATTCAATGACAATGGCGTTACATTGTTAAGTTGAATAAAACAAATGTTTTTTTTTTATGATATGAGGAGGGTTCAACTAATAGGATTCACTGGATAGTCATTGGAATACCGAACGTATAATGAAGGCTGTCAATCTATTTTAGCTTTGGATAATCGGAAAACCGCAGGCAGAAACAGAAACGCGATTAAACTTCACGGCTTTCTCATTTATAGACGGTAGTTAGACCCGTATGGAATTTCGTATCATAAATTAGAAAAATCATTAATTAGAAAAATGTTCGACCCGGTACGGATCGAACCACGACCCGTTGATTATTATACAACGCTACCATTACACCAACGTGCGTCTTTCGTAAAAAAACAGTTTACCACTTAAATAGAACACTTTAACGGTTAAAAACGCGATATATTAGTTACGGATTACGTACGTACGGATACGTTTCGGATGCTTTGCAGCAGCAGACGTGTCTCCCCGTGACCACGGCTGCTGCAAAGCATCCGAAACGTCGGGCCGAAGTTAAAAATCATTTTCAAATAAGTTTAACAATTATATCGCGTTTTAAACCGTTAAATTGTTTTATTTAAATGTGTACTACTCGCGTAAACTATAGACAGTATTTAGTTTACCACTTACAAAATGGCGACGGTGACGCATAAATTTGAGGAATAAATTGCTTAGGCACTTGCACCGGCACGGCAACAGGTTTCGCCACATATTGTATCACCGGCTGTACATGTTGCCGCTGAACCTGCGGCGCTATATGTACACTGGGACCGCTCTTCGAAACCAGGGCGTTAAAACCTCGGACTGGATCAGCTGTGTAGTCTACCGTTCGTATAGAACCATCCGGTTCTACTAGAGAATATTGACCTGAAAGTATTATAAAAATAAAATAAAATATACTTTATTCTCTTTAAAATTGAAAAAAATATTTAGTTTCGTAAAAAAAAATATTTTCGTTTGTCTGTCTGTTCGTCGTGATTATACAGAGTGTTCAAAAGAGCAACATAATTGAAAAGAACACCCAAGAAACTCAAACCGGCTTTTTTAAATATGTCTTATTAACAAGAGCAATTCATATTACTGCCATATGAGTGTCATTTTTGAGTGATAATTGATAATTGTTGTAAAAACATCACTTTCTTAACTGGGTATCGAATCCCCGGTCCTACGATTGGAATAATGTACCTTCTAGCAATACTTAAATATAAGCTGTATACTATGGAAATAAATAAAATCTGTGTATCTTCTCATGTTGGTTGTAGGTCTCGTCTATGTCAATTGTAAAATAGAGCAATTTAAATAAAGCACCATATTTTAACATTTCTCTTTACGACAATTTGTAAACGAATGTTCTCATAAGAAAAAAAATATATATTTCCAAGTATTTTTAAAATAGTCATTGATTAAAACATTTTAGAATTTATTTCTCTAGCCAAGGTCGACAAATGAAACGAAAATGAAAATAATTACTAAATAACACATAATAAGCCGCTAATCGGCCTTTTAAACAATGGTTTGTTTAAAAAATATCAACAACACGAACCTCAGAAAAGCATTGTTCGTTCTCTTATGCAAAGTGATTTAATAGAATAATTGACATCATTTATGTCACATTTACGAAACAGCATTTAAATTTTGTATCTACATACTATTTAATATTTTTTACATGTTATTACTATTATATATATGTTATATTTTTTATATGTTATTAGTAGATGATGGCACTATATAGAAATCGAAGATAAATTAAAAAAGTTCCGACAGAACTTGAACTTTTAATCGTTTAAAACGCGAAATATATCAGTTAACTAGGAATACAGTCTGCAGTTAACGCGAGTAGTACACGTTTAAATAAAACACTATAACGGTTTAAAACGCGAAACGTTCACGGGGATGACTCCCCTTGACCACGTTTCTAACAAATTTAACTCATATATATCGCATTTTAAACTGTGTAAGATTTTTATTTTAATGTGCAAGACTAGCGTAAACTATCTAATATATAAAATTCTCGTGTCACAGTATTCGTTGCCATACTCCTCCGAAACGGCTTGACAATTTTGATGAAATTTTTTGTGCTTATCCGATATCTATTAGAATCGGCCAACATCTATTTTTCATCCCCCTAAATGTTAGGGGTAGTCCACCCCTAATTTTTGTTTTTTTTTAGACAAAATTTTTAATTTCTTTTTTTTTTATGATACAAAAAAAAACTAATCAATCGTCATTTAATTAGTTATACATTATTTATATGGCAATACAACGTTTGCCGGGTCAGTTAGTAGACTATAATAACATAAGTTATTTACCTTTTACTATATCACCATCTCTTGTTTCATGTTGAGATTTCACATCGCCCGTCGAAGGGTCCGCCACGCCGTAATTGAAAGCGTACTTGGGTCGATCCTAAGTAAAATATAAAACCTAATTTAATGACAAAATTATGTATATACTTTGGCCCCTAAGGCTGCTTTATAATAAAAAGTAGAATGCCGTTTCCCCAAGTGGGGTATGGGGCATACAAACCGGTGTTCTCATTTACTGGCCGATTTGATCGATCAATGTAAAACAAAAATTACAAAGTCCTTACATAATACTCGTTATATCCAGTATCATAAGCTGGATTAAACACGGCACTTAATTTTGGGGCAGCGCTAACGTACTTTAACACGAACAAAATTATACCACACTGCAAATGCATTTTAAATATTCCTAAAACGGCTATACGTCTATATTAGTCCGAATGTTTCCCTGAATAAACAATGGACTACGCAGCCTCTCTTATATGTAGCCTTCCTATAGAGGCCTTGGTGAGCCCGAAAATTAAGTTTTCTTTGGCGCTACGACTAATTGTGAAAATTTTCGCACGCCTCAATGGTGAATCTCGGGTAGATAAGATTGCACCATTCTTGTTTTATGGGGCTCGATCGTATGTTAATGTGTAAAATTACATGGGACAACCTTAATGCGTGTATGTTATGGCACAATGTAATTTTTAACATGTTTAAACGCAGTTTGTTGTTTTTAACGATTTCTTTTAATATGGAAGCCCAGAAATATAATGAAATAGCAACTTAGTTTATAATTTTTCTTTACGATGATTGATTGATGATGATGATACACTGTCTATAGTCTGTAGTCTCCCCGTTACCACGGCTGCTGCAAAGCATCCGAAACGTCGGGCCTAAGTTAAGAATAATTTTCAATAAGTTTAACTAATATATCGCGTTTTAAACCGTTAAAGTGTTTTATTTACCATGATTTTTCAAGAATTTTAATCTATTGAACATTGTGGTGTATTTCTATCACATGAAGAACGTTAAATACCATCTGTAGTTTATGCGAGTAGTACACTTTAACGGTTTTAATTGCGATATATATTATCGGATCGAATGCTTTGCAGCAACCTTGGTCTCCCCGTACTTATATTAAAGTTTTCAAATATATTTAACTAGTATATATCACGTTTTAAACCGTTAAAGTGTCACACAGACCGTTGTAAAATATTGCTAAGCAGCTGAATCGTTATTAAACAAGGTAAGGTAATAGATACCTTTCAGAATTTTTATTATGTGTATGTGGAAAGTTAAACGAGAAGATTTTACATTGTAGAATACAGATAATACAAATTTATAGACAAACAACGACGACGAACCACGAATACGGTTTTAATGTAATTAGTAAAATTTCATTAGTTCCAAGTTTCTAACTCAATTTTTATTTTCTTCCTACTTTAAGATCCTAAGGTTCATTTCTCTGAGTATCAAATGAAATTACAAGGCCTACCTTTGCTTTAAGCCATTGTTCATAAATTACTGGAACTAAAATAACACGAATCTCACTAAACACAATAGAATAGACAAACTGCGGAAATGTAAAGATACCTTTAGTTTTGAAGAGACATTTCCGCGAAAGTGTTTCCACATTATAAAAAAATGTACCTTAAGGTTAAAAAAAAACAAATTACTGTTTAAAATTAGAATAACAAAAAAAATATTTTTTAATTTCTTATCACTTTTATATACTGCACAGTATTATTCATTCTTCTTATGGAATGGATACTAACATAATATTTACTAATTATTTAGCAAAAAGGAAACAAATAAAATAAATACTCAATTGATATAGCATAGAAGAAACAAAGAAGAATAAAGTTCAAAGATGCATTTAGCATGTTTAATTGTTTTACAGATAGATTCGTGTTAAACACATAGCATTTTTGAACGAAAAACATATCAATAAATATTTACATGATATAAAATATATTTATACTAAAAAACACAATATCTTACAATTATATATAAAGCTAAAGAGTATGTTTGTCTGAACGCTCTGATCTCAGGAACTACTGGTTCGAATTGAAAAATTCTTTAAGAACGAAGAAACAACAGGTAATGTGAAAAAAACGGGGAAAATTATTCATTATTATAAGTTTCCGAGGCAAGAACGGTTCAAGATAAATAAATGGTGTATGGAAGAATAATTTGTTAAAAAATGTTGTAACAACATTCACGACACTATATGTCTATCTTTTAAGATTAACTTGCAAGAACGACGGGACGAGACGGACGTCGTGGGTAACAGCTAAATTCAATAAAAATAGCTAGTGTTATAATAATACCTACACGTTTTAACTACAAACACAATCCAATCAAAGGAAGCAAGGTAAGAATTATTTGGATTTATTTTTATTTACGCTTAGAATATGTGATACCATAATAAGTATTTATACAAATATTACTTTGTATAAAACATATACATGTTTTAATATGCTAGCTAAAGCTAAGCTGGTTAATTTATTATTATATTAAAATCGAATACACATTTTGACAACAATTCAATCCCTAATAATTAAATACAATAGTTTAAATCCTAAAATTACACACAAGTTTTGCATACACAGATATAAAGGTAATCAACAAGGTAATCTATCTCTCACGGCTTACAACAAATTCAATTGAAGATTTTATAGGGCATAGAATTTTCGTGTTAATGACCTTAGTTGTATAGTGTTTGATTCTATAATTGCATTATGGGTTTCTATACTTTTTGTTATTATCCTTACTAATATTATAAATGCGAAAGTAACTCTGTCTGTCTGTAAGTTACTCTTTCACGCCTTACTTACTGAACGGATTTGAATGAAATTTGATATACAAATGATCTAGACTCTGAGAAAGGACATAGGCTTTTTTATTGCGAAAATTGGGTTGTAAGTGGTTAAAAGGGGGGGGGGGGTGAAAAGTTAACAATAAAACTTCCTCGTTTGCCTTTTTGGGAATAGGATTGGGAGTGGGAGTGGGAGTGAGTGTAGGAAGGAGTGATGTGAGGTGAACAACATAGATTGGCTGCCTTAAATGCGCCCTTACATAAATTAATAAACAAACAAGTCACTATTCCACGCGGATGAAGTCGCGGCACAGCTAGTAGCCACATAATTTTCAAAGTTTAGAAGAAATGTGATATAGTTTTTAAACTGTTATTATTAGAATCATTAACTATATTATTATAACTTAAGATACTTGTATTTGTAGCTATTCGCATTAGATACACAGTGTTTCAACAATTTAAAAGTTCGTTCTGGCAATTACATGCACAAATATTGAGATGAAAAGGATTTTTGTGAATCCTATGACACTTCCACTATCTGTTTCTTCTGGTTCCGGATCGGGGAGCCACGGTCCGCACTGTCTATACCCTTCCTCAGCAGCATAATTATGAGGATAACACGTCGTGTTAGGAGGTCGGCCAGGCAGAGGAATACGATTCCGCCAACAAGCCAGACGACTTGCCTGATCAGAAAAGAAATTATCATCCTTCATTTCAACAAGCCCATTGATAAGGGAATTGTTTAACGGCGCTCCATTGTACGGACAGTGCTTATACACAGCTATAAGAATAAGATTTGTCTGCGGAACCTCAGTACCTACTAACGGCCACGTACAGGGCTTTGCTGGACGATTCAAAGCCTCCATAGCTTTTTTATTCCTCTGAAGTTCGTATAGTGGTCTAGTCCTGTCGCACGCGGCAAATCTAGTTCTGTTAAGTAATACTCGATCGTCGTGTAGTCTTTCGTACTTCTCTCGTTCATAGTCGCGGCGTAAACGCCTTCGTCGTTTCTCTTTCTCGAACTCTGTATCACATTTGACAAAACTATTGGATGTTATAAAATAAAACGTCCATAAGTCACGAGAAACATTAATAATAGTTATCATATAATTCCAGAGCGATAGGATAATTGAAGAGAGTCTTGGAGCAGCACTATTATCTTCATCTACAGGTGCAAAACATACGCCCTGATAATCATGGACCCATCGTACTTTAAAAATACTAGCATTTAATAGAGCCTTCATTGCTATAGGATGTTCATTAGCGAGATGTTTATTCATAACGTCGTCGTTATCTTGATCGGCGATAATCCACCCAGCATCATCGATTAAAACGCACGTCCAGTTCTTTCCGTCACAGCGCGGTTCACATTTCGATTCGTCCTCTAGAGCGCAGTGGTAATTTGTGATGGATTCGAGTAAGTCATCTAAATGCTTAGGATAGAAATGATACCCTGCAACGCCGATGACACCATGTTTTTTCGGATGGCTTAGTGTTCTGGCTGCAGTTAGCCATTGCCATCTTTGACCTAATGGTGGGACTACTGGTTCAGTATTTCTAAGGAAACGAACTGGTGGTATTGGTGCGTGAATGATAAGAGTATCTGGTTGCGCAGTGGCACGGCGATACCAAGCCTCTGATGGGCCCATTGGCCACACCGAACCTTCCGGGGGGTCGGCGTGAGCGCTGGTCGCATGATACAATTGCCAACGGGTTAAACCATTTTCTGTAGCAAAGAAGGCCGTATTTGATCCAAGTAGGCAAGCAGAGCAGTCTCGGTCAGTATCTGGATCTTCGTGTTCGAGCGACCACTGCATAGTTGCGATTGCCTCTTTACATATCCTTCCCATTAATTCCCCATTACATTGGTAAGGCTTTTCAAGTAAAGTTAATGGTACTGGCGTGAATAAGTGCTTCAATTTTCGCATTGAAAAATTGGGTTCGTCTCGACGTCTCCGTAGAAAATGCAGTAACTCTAATTCGCGGGAGTCAAAATGCGGATCTACATGTCTACAATACAACCAATCAGGGTGTATGGCAAAATCTGTTCCGGATAATGCTTTTAAAGCATCCTCTGCTGTTTTTTGAGAGAAATGCGCTGTGGGTACAACGTGTATGTGGTTATATTTTGGTAGGGATAACACAAGTGTATAATGATTGTGAATTCTTTTCCAGTGATATTCTCTCATTTCTAACATTACTCTTAATCCACCTTCGTAAATACTCTTGGCATACATTGTTCTCGAACCTTTAGCTTCAACAATTACTACCGCTTTTCTAAAATCGAGCCACTCGATTGGATAGTCGCGAGCATAATGATCCAAAGCTGGCTGTTCGAGGTCCAAAAAATCGACAGTTCTGTAACCCGGCCTCAAAACATCCCCGTCAAAAACAGGTTTACTATTGTTGTGCAGTACTACATTGCCACGGTGGTCTATAAGAAACAGAGACCCACCTGCTCCAGTAAGGTAATAGGGCATAACAAGTTTTAAATGGTCTATAGGTATGTCAACACCAGCCACGCCCAATAGTCGATTGACTGGGAATGTTTTTGTGGAATCTCTCTGTTTTTCTTCATCCAATTTTATAGTTATGTTTTCTACTGTGGTTGATTCGAATACTGGCACCGCCACGCTGATTTGAAGACGATAATTTATTACCTCTTCTTCGTAGTATTGGCCATACTGCTCCAAGTTTGCCATACGGTCGAGATCCTTTCTAGTGCTTTTTAGAAATTTATCTCTATTCTTTCTTAGTTGTTTATATCTGTATTCTTGTTCTGAATTTTCTTTCATTTGCCAATAGAATTCACCTCGTCTCGGATCTTCCATGTGTGCATAGAGATCGCTATATACTCTGAGCCGCTTTTTTCTTTGGGCAACCAAAGGCCGCTCGAGTACACGAAGTATTCTCATCACTTGCTCCGTAACATCAGAATCAGTAATCAATTCTGCAAAATACCCATCACGATCGCAACTCATCGAACTGCCAAGATTTCTAGTGTTATCTCGCAAACCATACTGGTCGTGAAGCCACATGATAAAAAGTCTTATCTTTCCTTCGGGATCTAGTTGTCTCATTAAATCAGTATAATTTATGTACAAACTGTCCGTAATTAGAACTATTGCTTGCTGACAAGATAACGGTTTATCTAAATTATGCTGTTTTTTCAATAGATTTACAGAGTATGCTAGTACATCGCCAATCAACGATTCGTTCTTCAACTTTTGACGTCTAAGAGCTGACATCATCGCAGCTGAGTTTACATTGTTGGCTGACACCAGCTTGTCGTTAAAGCAGCTTATGGGAGATTGCACTTTTACGTTAAATCGCAGGACATTAACTTGGTCGTCGTCTGTGAGAGCATTTAAAAGAGTTCCAGTCAAGTGTTCAGCTGTCACTAAATTAGACGAATTGTACATGGACCCTGATGCATCTAGTAATATAAGAATGTCTCGAGGAGCGCCACTAGCACTTACATACCATGGCCTAAGCCGGCAATCGAACACGTCATCTGCACCAACATTCAGATTATACAAGCTATCCCACAACGCAGCAGGGTAATGTCTTAAAAACCCCGAAGCGCTGCAGAAGTACTGAAAATCAAGCGTAGCGTCTTGAGCGTAATTTTCGCGAAACGTTGACAGCAGAGCCTCAGACCAATACATATGGTTAACTATTTTAGGATTGCAAACGAATACTTCTGGTGCTACGTGAACACTGGTCGCCTCGAGTGATATTTGGGCATTAAAATGTAAATTCTTTTGTAATCTTAATTTATTCAAACTCTTACACGAGGACGGCAGTTCCCACTCACTCTCAGGCGGCTCATATTTCTTTAAGACATTTAGATCAATACTGTCGTCAAAAGTGTAATTACTTGGAGCTTGAAATTTATTTTTTAGTACATAGGAAGAGATTTCCTCTGCTCGGCGCATTATAGCTTCCGCTGCATTCCCGCGTCTTTCGAAGACATCTTCCAAGGCCTCGCTGGCTTTGTCCACGATTGCAGACCCATTCCTAACCTCTATGGTAATATCAGAAAAACTATTGGCCAGGACATCCCTTCTAACGACTTTTCCTTCTATTTCAAATAATCTCTCGCTAATTTCTTTAGCCCATTCTTTTATTTGTTCGCGTGTTATCAACCTGGGTTTCACTGGAGGCTTTTTTATTGTTGCGCTTTTCACTGTTATTTTAGTTACATTGGCAACTGTTAAGGGAGTGTGCCTAATTTTGCTTTTATTGACCAGAAGAAAATCCTGATGTTCTTCTAACGACTTCTTAATATCGATATTGTTGACTGTCGGCGTAATTTTACATTCACAAATATTCACGAATACACTGAATATAACTAGATGTATTACGAAGTTCATATTTCTGAATTTTTCAATTTATTTACATTTTAATGTAAGCTTTGCTGAACTTCGCGGTTCGAAAATGCAGAGAATACTGGGAACTGATCTTGCCATATAGGCGTGTTAGGAGTGCTCCAGACATAGTACAGACGGACTGGCGCCGCGCATTACTGGTTTGCGTACCTATGGCGTAACTATTCAAAGTTCGTCCTATATTTATTTAAACAAAGTTTAACTTTCTGCCTTTGTTTTCGGTACTACTTCGATAATGATTGGGTGTTTTTAAGTCCTCATTTTATTTAATAAAAAAATATATTTTATTTTACATTAAATTGTTGGTATTAAATAGAATTGAGAATAAATTCAATAAAAGTAATTATAAGAAATCAAGTTTAATTATGTGACTGCGTCACGGCAAAAAGGCAAATATTATTTTAGCCCCTTTTGCTTATAACAGGCGCAAAAAAATATTATGTTCTGCATTATTGCATGCATTTATAACCACAAAGTAAATCCTTCTATTTTCTAATAAAATAATCTTTACCATTCGTATTATTATAAAAATAAAATATTCTAAGCGAAAAATTCTAAATTTGTATCGCTACATCTATTGACCATACACAAAAGCAACTACTAACTAATTGCTGTGTTTAAAAAGTACACAAGGATTGCGGTCAGCGATAAGAGATGGCGCTTTATGCAATAAAAAATCAATGGTAAAAATATATTTTTTTTTTAATTTACTTACATTCTTAAAAACAAAATATAATGAATTAAACTAAATAATAAACGTACATCCTACTCAGGTACTTAAGAAATAATAATTATTAACAGATTAATTAACATAAATATAAAAAATAACAATTTTACAACAAGGTTTCCTATTTATGGAGATCTTTTGAAAGATATACGAATTGAAATGACTTGAAATTAAAATCTATTTAGAATGAAAATTTTGACAATGCCGGGTCTTGAACTGGCATTCACACAATTGCTTTTTTAGATGATATCTTGTTACACATGTCTTCTTTTTTATGATTTTTTTTAGCATTACGTCCGTGTGAATTGGATTAATTTTTGATTTTTTTTTAACTCTTAGTAAATTGGTGATGAAAAGTCTTTGTCGGTTTCCACGCTTCTCAGATTTAAACTAATAGAATTATTAATGAATAAAGTGCGCTTCATGTGGTGAAATTGGAGCCGTTCTGTGCACGACAGCATTGAAACCATGGTGTTTGTCAGCAGTATAATCCACAGTACGAATGGAACCATCTGGTTCCACCACAGAGTACTGACCTGGCAAACACATAAAATAAATTAATATTAAGTTATACATGATATAGTATTAAGCATAACACACGCAAGCCATTTGAAAATTATCGACACTTGAACATTATCTGGAGAAAACTGTGTAATAAATTAAAATTATTATACAGTTTTCTCCACGACATATAAACTAACATAAGGATTTAATAAAACACTTTTAACGGTTTAAAACGCCAAATGTTACAAATTATTTTAACTACACTCGACGAGCAGCCATGGTCACGGGGCGTCATTTCGCATTTTATACCGTTAAAAGTGATTTATTTAAATGTGTGTAATACCATTCACGTAAAGACTTGTGTAAGAAGTTCTCGGTGTCTCGCGTTGATATTTTATCAAAATCATCGGAAAAGAGTAAAAAATGTCACATGTACACAATATGTAATATAAGATTATTTATACGTTGTTATGTGTGTGTGTTGTACAACATAGAGTGAAACTAAAGGTTAACAATGAACCAAGAAGTCTAGACAATATTTTAGATCTCTTAGTTGACCGGAAGACTTTATGTAGCTAGAAAAAGATTTACGCAACAATGAGAAAGTAAGAAAATTCTAAGTTGGTGTAAGTAATGAATAAGAATTTATAATAACTAATTTCAAAAACAATATGATTTCCTATTGAAATATTTTTATATATACCAATATAATAAACAGTTTACAAAACACTGCGCGAGAGGTGAAAAAATTTGACGATCACGTGTAGGACACGGTAACTCAATCGGTTTGGAGCGTCACGTCAGCTATGCCGGTTCAAGTCATGCCCGTGTCGTAAATTTTTTACAATCTAAAATAGATTTTTAATTCATAAAAAAAAAGATTGCAGACACGATTCAAAGCAACGCATAGATCTAGGAATGTGTACATTTTACTACCCTACCCGATCGATGTTTTCGCCAAGATTTGAACCCAGAGCGTCTTGTTAAATTACTGAACCACGGTGGCCGTTCGCATGTTTAGTTATTTACCTTTTACTACATCTCCATCCCGACTTTCGTGATGAGTTTTAATATCGCCGGTGTGAAAATCGTTTACGCCATATTTGAACACGTACTTTGGATACGCCTGAAAAACAATAATTAGTATGAAATACATTTAATTGCATATAACCTGTGCAATTATTGCAACTGCTGTGATAAGGAAACATTAGACATACGTACAACTAAAATTTAGTATTGTTAATCGTAAAAGTAGATCGGAAAGATAATATTTGAGACCACATAATGTGAAATGAAATCTACGGTTTTACAAGGAAGTATCTACCAAGGTAGGATTTTATCTTATATTATTACTGTTTTTTTAGTATCGAATCTAAGACCTGTCGTGACTTCCCCAATTAATAGGCAATTCGAATGTATTCTATACGAATTATAATACAGCCATGCTGTCGTTAGATCAATGACATTAATGTTATAATTTAATATGTATTATTATTTTTAAACGTTCACCAATAAACGATGTTTGCTGACACCTGTAAAATATATTTTTACACCTAATTAAATGGTTATGCTCATTGCTTTTAATAACTTAGTAGATACCAAGACACGGAAGGAACTACCTGTTACATAGTATACAATCTAGGATGTTTTCAACGCAACAGAATTACCTGAATCGAAACAGTTAGACAACGATGAAGATAATTTTATGTTTTTCTGACAGAAAATAAGATAAAAGACTGGAATAAAAATTTTAAAAAGATCTAGGTTTGGTTTTTGACTTAGTCTCCCATAACAGAACCACGTTATCTTTTACTTGTTAACTTCGAAAACAAATACAACTTATAAACATGAGTGGCCTAACATGTCCCGGAAGTTGTTGAATGACTGATTCTTTATCCAAGAAAAATATAGAGAAATCATGTTTCCTATGGGCTATGGGTCGAACATGTTTATGTGCCCGTTTCCTTGATCGGTTCTTTTATTCTTATATTCATTATTTCCCTAGGATTTGAATTTAGAACCGCTAACTCTAAGGCAATTCGAGACAATCCAATTACAGTTCTAAAATAACAAACTATAACGGTTATAGTATTATAGTAATTTAAAGGTACACGAAGTACTTCACAGTCGTAGAGTATTATGTAAAATACGTCTATATATCTATACCAATATGTATATAAAGTTGAGGAGTCGGTTTGTCTGTTTTAACGCGCGAATCTCAGGAACTACTAGTTCGAATTGTAGAAACGAGGAAACTCATATTTATGAGTTTCCGATGCGTACGATGCGAAAACGGTTCAAGATACCCAAAAAATATCTATAAAGAATGATTCCTCTTTAAACGATATAACAAAATGTCCGCGACACTTATATGTCTATCTTTTAAAAGTAATTTGCAAGAGCGGGACGCGAAAGGTAGCAGCTTAAAGATACAGAGGTTTGGAAATCTGGAAGCCTAAAATAACTATTCTACGCGGACGAAGTCGCTGACCCAACTAGTGTAGAATATGTCTATATATTACATAATATACGGATTGATTTACGTCATTAAACTATGAATAGAGATCAAAATCTGAAATGCTAATCAGGTCTTAAGGTTTTCTAATTAAAGGTAATCAACAAGAAAAAACGCAAACAATAATTGAGGTTATTACTACGCCTAAGTAACATCTCAATAGTTAATTATTGTCTGTAGTTTAAGCATAGTACGCGTTTGAATTAAATATTTAACAGTTTAAAACGAAAAATATTTATCAGAGGACTTATGTTTAATTTATTTCAACTATGACCTAACTTTTCCAATTGCTCCCAATTACGTTTTAAACCGTTCAAAGCGTTTTATTTAAATAGCGTCATGCAATTTATTCCTTAAAGACTTAAAAAGCAATAGTAGTTGTTTATCTATTTAATAAATTATAACTCCGAATGTGTGATTTAGAAATAGTGTTAGTACAGAACAAAATATATTAACTTATGTGACTGTATGTTCGTGACTTCATATTTTTCGAGGTTTTGACAACTGAGCTTAGGACCACATAGACTATATAAAATGTTCTGAACTATTGTGGTATCAATGTATTTGAAATCATTGATTAAAAGATAGTTATGTTATAAAATATATTTTTACATGATACTTACAATCACTTATGAAAATTTTAATAATTTTCACCTGAACGCATTATGTATAAATTCAAAATATCTTCTAATTGATTTATCAAATATCAATTGATTAGAGCAGCAGCACGAAACGCCAAGGGTTCCCGGTTCAAGTACCGCCCATGTCATCAAGTTTTTTCAATCTACATAGATTTCTAATATAAATCTACGAAGCAAATCCGAGGGCCAAAGGGAATAAATATCATAGAAAATCGTATAGTATTCAATGTGTCCTAATTTTGTAATTGTGAACGAAACGTCACGAGAGAGTCAATTTTTGCACTCGTCTGTACCAACACAGATAATAAGCGAAATATTGCTTTGTCACCAACAGAACGTAAAGTCGGTCACACAATATTAGAATTACACAAAATTACGTCAACTTGCTTTCTTTGTCAACGTCAAATACGATTTATTTGGTTACGTCTATCTTTCGCAATTTGAACAAATTTTCTATTTTTACTACCTCAACGTTACTACTTTTATTATCTCTTGATAAAAGTAATAAGTTTAAACAAAACACTTTTAACGGATTAAAACGCAAAATATAGCTCAGCTAGATAGTTCAGTTACAATTTATTTTAACTGCGCCTGGATGTTTTGGACGCTTTGCAACAGCCGTCCCTCCGTGACCACGTACGACGGCAATGGCAACTCGTATAATAATTACAGTCTATACTTAAAAATACTACTCCCCGATCCTAAACGTCGGGCCGAAGTTAAAAATCATTTTCAAATAAGTTTAACTAACATATCGCTGTTTTAAACCGTTAAAGTGTTTTATTTAAAAGAAAATAACATTTTTTTAAATAAAATTTTGGTAGAAACGTTCTAGTCAGTTATAAAATAACAAAACATTGATTATTATTTTATTAACTTATAATTTCGCTCCTAGACCCTATTTTTTGTTTCATTACTACATAAAATCTTATTGTTACTGCGAGTACTATCTATGGGACGGTTTTATTACCAGGAAAAAAGGTCATCTACCCGCTTTTCACTTCAATGGACAAAACGCTGAGAAGATGTCAAGGTCATTGGCAATTAAACGAAAGAATAGCTGAACAAAAGCCATTCATACTCCATCATGCAGAAGCAAAAACAATAATTTCCCTCTTTGTCTAATTGTAAATGAAGGACTGAAGATGAAGGGGGCAAAGTCTTGGAACAATATTATTAATAATTTTATTAATAGTTATATTAATTTAAATAAAACACTTTAACGGTGTAAAACGCGATATATTAGTTAAACTAATTTGAAAATGATTTTTAACTGCGGCCCAACGTTTCGGATGCTTTGCAACAACCGTGACCACGGGCCGAAGTTAAAAATCATTTTCAAATAAGTTTAACTAATATATCGCGTTTTAAACCGTTCAAGTGTTTTATTTAAATGTGTACTACTCGCGTAAACTATAGACAGTAGTAATATCAACTAGCTATATGAACTAAATATATTGTGAAAAAAAAAAAGGATTTGCAGCAACCTTCAGAGTCGCTACTGCAAACCATTCGGAAGTTTAAATAAATAAAATCTTTCGTGTTTCAAACTGCTAAAAGGTTTTCTACTCGCATAAACTACAGATAATACTTGAGAATTAAGAGGTCTCTAAGATTGTATTGGAGATCTCCTTGAATAATTGATAAAAAGTACTAAACTCCAATTAACTATTAGATATATAGGTATAATTATTACGTCATCATTAAGGTTTTATTTCAGTTTAAATATTCATTTTTATATAATACAGAACGACAGCCAAGCATAGGGTTCGCTTGATACCCCAGCCAACTAAATAAGAAACTCCAATAATACATTTTTTCTATAATAAAATGTTCTTGTAAAACAATAACACGACGACACATTATACTTACATAATAATCGACATGTTCTTCTTCTGGAATATAGTGATGTATCAAAGGCCTATGTAGGGGCTGCACAAAGCTTCCTTCCGGGTGTAAGTCCGCTAGTTTTGGGTATGTCATGCGCCCACACACACAAACAGCCATTAAGACGACCAGGGCTATATTCTGTAAAAACCACACATCATACAATTAGAGATTATATATATCATATACAATTACGAGTTATTAAAAAATATTTGGGAATAGTACTTCTATTTTTTTTTTTAATATATCATCGCAATATCTAAACCCATTTCCCCAAGTCGTGAAAAGGTTGTATTTCATTTAAAAATCTAATTAGAATTGACACGGGCGGGACTTTAGCCGGCATACACAGCGTTAGGTGCTGTTGCCCTAACCAATTGGGTACCAGGTCATTTATTTAAGTAGTATAAATTTCAACAGAATTAAATTTATATAATGCCATCATGAACCATATTATCTTACTAGAAAATTTTTTAAAAGGTATATTATTGTTATTGAAATAAGCAGTAGCTTTTAACATATTTTTTTTTAATTTTTTATTTATTTTTTAATAAACTTACCGTTACTTCCATGATTACACTTCAACTCAGTAAAATACGATACGTTGGCTCTGAAGACTAGAAATAATGTGCATAGCATGACCGTTTACTTACGTTTATATTACGTGTGTGGTGTAAAGTTAAGAGGTGGTAGTATGTTTGGAATCAAAGATATACGATCTTAACTTGAGCAATATAGGGAACGAAAAGCGACGGTGCTGCTCTCCAGAAAGGGACGCGACATACGTCGTGGGGTTTGCAAAAACGAATTTGGATTCCCAAAATAAAGATTCTCACGGACGATGTCGCTGATACAGCTATAAGGATACAACTAAGACTAGAATCTTTCTTCTTTTGATAACAAAGAATTTGTCGTGTATTCACCAGACCTACCATGAAAATCTATTAACAAATATTTTTGTCTGTAACATGTAAGATTCTTCTGGAAATTTGATATTAGACTTGAGGTCACTTACTGTCATACATAGATGGCAATGTTGTCCTGTTTCTGTTTTAGCTTTCTGGATAATCAAAGCTAAAATAGGTAAATAGACAAATGTGTGTCTTAAGATAGCACGTCGATATTTTTGGTTCTAAGACTTATTCACGATGTTTTTTATTTCCGACCTCCCGAGCCGACGTTACGTCCACACACCCCTAGAGTTTCGCGAATCATATGTAGCTAAGCGTTAATATTGCGGATTATCTATACCTACATTAGAGCCACATTGTTTACGATTAAGTAACCTAATAATGTTTTTTCCACTTATTACTTCCTTCCTTTTAAGTGAAGCAATACGTGAGACATAGAAACTAAACAGTTCTAAATAAAATAGTTTAAAATAATGAGGATACGCGTAGGTACCAACAAAAATAACATTTTAATATTACAAGAATTTTGATGAGCTCGTTGGTCGACGATAATCAATGAGTCGTTGGTTAGATTCCCGCCGGGTTCAACATGTTGCTTATCAATTAATATCTGGTTTGAATGGGTGATACGAATATTAAAATTCCATCCGGGTCACGAATAACCGTCTAGAGACGAACAAGCTATGAAGTTGAATCGCGCTTCAGTCTGTGGATTTCCGAATATCCAAAGTCTTATGGGGTAGGTATTTCACCTACCCTCAAATGAATCCATGCTTGTCTGTTCACCTCTATCATGAAAAAGATAATAGCATATTTCGAGTTTTAAACCGTTATATACCGTTATATAAAGTATTTTATTTAAATCTAATAAGGTTTTATATTATCTTAGCTGAGACCCAGATATTTTTTCTAGTATATCACACAAACTTTCGATTACGAAGCAGTATTGTACAGTCCAATAAGCCATTGTCAAACATTTAGGCTGACCGAGGAAAGTGTGTTCGCCATTATATAACACTTGGCGCGTATTAGTGACATATTGTAATAGGATTTGTGACCATAAAACCAAGAAATCATTACACATTACAATAAGTGTCTTAACTGTGAACGAAATGGTTCACGCTTAGGTTTTTTTGCAGTGCGACCTTAGGTCACTGAAGTCCGGCTTGAATGGGCGATAGTACTGTCAATGAAGTGTAAATCGTATGTAAAACAAAATCTAATTGAAAAGGCGTATTATGAGGTTAATCTTTAATTTAAACAATTAATGTTAAATGCACTTTAACGGTTTAAAACGCGATATATTAGTTTTTTTTTTTTTTTAAATCTTTATTTAGTAGGCTTTAACCTAACTAGGTTATGTCGCCCAATGATACAAAATTTACAATTACAATACCGAATTAATAAAATATCTACACTCTAAACATATCTACATAGCCTTATGATATAAGTTTAGTAGCATCCTAGCCTCCCCCGAAAATGGAAAGGCTAAGACACTACCATACCACCCAACATTTTTAAAACAGATAGATTTACTAACCAATTGTCTATATGCCGCATTCCGTACACATTCCGACAAAACATGAGTGAGGTCTTCCACAACGTTACAATCTGTGCAATCAGGACTTGATGTTACTCTCATCAGATGTTTGAATTTGTTTGTCGGAATATGTCCGGAACGCAACCGCATTAAAGATACAACATCTCTTCTATTTAGATTATTGAAAATGTACCACGGGTGAATTGGAGGGGCACATACAATCGTATGATACCAGATACCCTTTGTGAGAGACCTCTCATCGAAATAAACATTCCACATACTTCGACAATCTTGTTTCACCAAAAAAAGTACCTCAGAATATGTAGGTCGCCCATATAATGAAACTACTCCCCCCGAAGTCATATATTAGTTAAACTTATTTGAAAATGATTGAAATGAAAAAAAAAAATAATTTTCAAATAAGTTTAACTAATATATCGCGTTTTAAACCGTTAAAGTGTTTTATTTAAATGTGTACTACTCGCGTAAACTATAGACAGTATTCAATTAATGTTAATTAAATCTATGTTAAGACTGTAGAATGTGCCGACGGGCTGGTTGATGCAACGGTAGTAATAATCAACGAATCGTGTGTTCGGTTTTTTTTTAATTCTGATTATTAAATTGGTGGGTAGCATTATTGAAATTCCGTCTGTGGATAAAAAAGCCGTCAAGTTTAATCGCGTTAAGGTGTCTGTGGATTTCCTAATATCCTAAATCAACGCATCTCATTTAGATGTTATATGGTATTTAGCTACCTACTATCAAGAGAATCTTGTTTGTCTGAATTCCTCTATCATAAACAAACACGCCGCTTAAAGGAGTAGCGGCGAGTTTCGTGCAAGTTCTTCCCGTTCGTTCTACGCCCTTGATTTAAGAAATTGTAGTAAATGTAAATTTAGTCTTTAGTTATTAACCAGTGTGACGCTCATACGTCTATTTACCTACGTGTGTGTGAAATCCCGTTTCCCCTCGTGGAGTATGGGGCGAACACATTTCTGTGTCCGTTTCACTGATCGGTTTTTATTTATAGGCAAGTAGTTAATCAGACTGTACCCTGCCCGACCGAAACAATTTATTGTTTTCACGGGATTCGAACTCAGGACCTCTCGCGCTTAACACAATGCTAGGTAGCATGTTTAACCATTTAGCTATAAGGGCGGTCAGTTACCTACATATATATATATTTTCACTTTATTAGCACAATTTAAGTTATATTGTAACTCAAAGAAGACTTTTATTTAATGAAATAACAAAATTATTATATTTACACATAAGGTATACTTACTATGTTCTAAACATTGTCAGTGTTGCCCACGTAGATATAATAATTGTGTTCCAATAAACGGTTTATGTTAAAAATCCTCAATCCATGCGAGTATTATATAGTTTAAAATGAAATTACAGCTAGAACAATTACCGATAAAATTACTGTGATTATTGTAATATGTTACGATTGTTTGTTACGATTATATTGCTTAACACCAAGGAATGCTTGAAAATCACTATGTTTTAAGTTCTTATTGCATAGTTTACGCGAGTAGTGCATATTGAAAGAAAACCCTTTAACGGCTTAAAACGCGATATTTATTAGTACATTTTATTTAAAAATTATTTTAACTACAGCCCGAAGTTGACGACGACGTCACGTAGGTCTCCCCGTGACCACCGTTGCTGCAAAGCAATCGAAACGTCGGGCTTAAAATAAGTTTGACCAATATATATTGCGTTTTAAACCGTTAAAGTTTTTCATTAAAATGTACCCTAAACTGTGTTAGTTTGAAGGCATTCATTTAGACATGGAATTCCATTTACTTTAAAAGAAGAACTTTCTTAGAACACGCTAAAGAAGCTTTATTTAGGATTCAATTGTCTACCTGTATATCTATAATTTCGTCTCGATCTTACTAATTTCTCCTAACCAACTGGTACTTATAGTACTCGGTACTTACAAGAGCAATTGTTACGAATAATTCTTACATAAGCGTATTACGAGTCAAAGCACACGAAGAAACACTTAATTCTATATCCGAAGTGAAACCATAGCACAATATTGATATGAGATTCCTGAATATTGATCAAATGTAGTCTACTGTTGAGTAACAGTAGAATTGTGCTTTGTGAATAGCAATTAGATCGCAGTGGACGTCGATGCGTCGATAAGACTAGGTCAACATAGAGGAACCTCATATGGTGTTAAAAATATAATGGTGAGTTCGGAGACGATCAAGATGACAGTGATGATGAGAATTTGCTAAGAATTAACGGCCAATCTCTTTTTTTATGGTAGAGGAGGACAGACAACATCTAAACAGGATGCACTGTCTACCTTTGGTTGCATAGACTCAATTAATTAAAAACATATTTGACCCAGTGGGGATCGAGCCTCACAACCCGGAAAAAAATATTAGCCGTACATTGCCATTACACCAACGAGGTCGTCATAACAAAATTAGTATTTTTAATAAGCCGTGATAGTTTAATGGTACATTAAGTACACGGGACTTCTATTTGTAAGGGAAGCAGTTCGCTTCCCCAGCCGTATACTAGAATGTTAGATCTACATTCTGATACATGATCTTCGGGGATGAACACTTGAGTCTTGAACGCACAAGTTCCACCAGTGACCATAAGAAGATAGCTACCAGCACAAATATAGATTAAGACCTGTACTCTTATTTAAATAGGAGACCCTGGTACCTGGGCTGATGGCGATGTTGGAAATTATGATGATAAAGCAGTACTAACACATCGTGCAACCTCACACATCATAAAATAAAGCACATATTTGTAATAATACTTTAATAATTATATCAAAATGAAAATACCGCAAAATAACTTAAGTTAAAATGGTTGACAAAATTTGAACGTATCGTAAGGTATATGTCTAATTTTCCGTTTATTATTTTTATCGTAATACACTCGAACCTTCTCCGTACCGCAATTCCCCGACTTCAAATCGTTCTGCATGTAAATCTCAAACTCTGACTTTGGTTTCGGCGGATTCCTATCGTCAAACAGTTCAAAACCTTTTTCTGGTTTAGTGTTTGAGTCATCTAATTCTGGAGATGTTTCTGGTCTTTCCTGTTTGACTTTAAGATCTGGATACCTTGAATCGATTACTTTGAAACTTTTTAATTCCAACCTAAAATTAGTAATTTATTTCTATTTATATGATTCATGGTTAAATTGAATTTCATGTGAATGTTTAACGGATAGGCTTGCTGTTTACCTATATAACAAACGAGTCATTGGTTCTATTTTTACCTTAGCATTCTCTTATTTTTCATTATAAAAGAAGACAGACAAGCATGGCCACGTTGTTTTCTTTAGATAAGATGACTTGCCCACTTAAACTGGTCATTTAAAGGGTGGTAGGATATCAATATCATGGCAAGGGTCACGTACTAAGAGCTTAATTATGTATTTTGGATTTGAAGAATTTAGCTGTCATCCTCCGCCTACATTTTTTTATGTGTACGGCATGCTGTTTTTTATCACAAAAAACACGCCTTCACTTTTACAAAAGCAAAGTCTATGGTGAGAATATTACACTAATTATTAAGGTAGGTAAAACACACAATATACCCGTAACTAGAATCGTCCGCAAAATATTTCACATGAACGGGATTCCCATCCTTATCTTTGTAAATGTATTTTCCAATGACTGTGCCGTTGGGGTATCGTTTTTCGTCTTTTAAATCGCTTTTAATGGGTGCTTTTACCCTATCTACCGGGTAAGCTAAGAAGAAATTATTTTAATTAGTCACAATATCTCGTATTTTCAAACTCACATTGCACTTCAAATATTGTATTATTTACAAGAGTAGTACTCATTCAAATAAAACACTTTAAAACGCGAAATATATGAGTTAACGAATAAAAGTGTTTTATTTTAATATCGCATTTTATTAACGAATAATTATGTTTTATTTATTATTATTATATATTATTGATACCTTGTGTTAATCCATAAAACATTAAAACCATTATGTAGTGTCTTAAACTATCCATCTCTCTCAAATACGTAAAAGTAAACCACTTTAAATACAAATTCCAAAATTGTACGCTCTACAAAAAGGCTTATTTGTCATTTTCGACATTGGAAAAACAATATGTCTATGGTCTATGGTTACAGAAAGATAGATTGATTTTTTTAGAAAAAGGTTATCTTTAAAACACCAAGAGTTAAACAAACTTGAAAATAATAACACACATGAGTGATATGGGATTGAGATTTTAAAGATAAATAAAAATCGGTAAAAAAACTTTTAAGTTAAACGGTTATATCTTTTGTGCACTGAAAACTACAAAAAACTTTTTTGTCATAATCATCGTGTTTTACTAGTGTAGCCCTTTCATTTGATACCCATATTGAGGGGGTTAAGGAAAAATATGTAATCCACTATTTTGTATCGGCCGGCCATCTTGGATTTTTAATGTTATCGAATTTATTATATTTTATTGCATTTTGAATTGTCGTTCAAACAGTTTCACTTAACAACGAATTTTAAAATTTTTTACCACAAAATTTAACTCCAAATTAAAAACTTTTTTTCACACGTTATTGCACAAGAAGGCACTATGTATATTATAAAAATCGAAAATAAATTGAAAAAAATTTCGACGCGTTAACGCTGACGATGCCGGAAATTTTTCGATTTTTAAATTACCACTAAATTTACCATCTAACATATTAATTGGAATTGGATTGGAAGGAATTAAAAACATGTTGGACCTCAATTGGAAGCGAATTCCCGTCCGTTGTTTGGACACATATATGTCTGGGAGCTCATCAAAAAGGGAAAATTAAACAAGAATAATCCTTTAGAAGTCTATAATTAACCTAATATAATAAATAGTAACTCGGGGGTTGAATACGATTGAATTGTCTTTTTTCTATTGTTTTTGTTTTATTGAGAGTTTTGCGTTTAGGCGGTCTCGTCCACACCACTGGTTCTTCTGTAGCCGGTTCTTTAACTAAACTGCTTGGTGCATGATAGCTCTCCTGTCGCAGTTTGTTACTTGTGACTCTGAAAAGACAATCATTATATAATTATCAATTTTAAAAGTTCTGGTTTCATCTAATATATAAAATTCTCGTGTCACAGTTTTCGTTGCCATATTCCTCCAAAACGGCTTGACCACGGTAGTCCACTCCTAGTTTTTTTTTTATTTTTTAGACAAAATTTTTAATTTTTATTTTTTATGATACAACATACAAAAATACATACAATCCTCAATTTTCACCCTTCTACGATCAACCCCTTGTTTTTTAAATAGCCATTTTAGTAAAATTATTTATATGGCAAAACAACGTTTGCCGGGTCAGCTAGTTAAATTTTGAATTCATATCAAAACAGTTGTTTTAGATTGTAATCTAATGAAACGTCTACGGGCTCTTTGGTCTTAGTAAATAATGTATGGCTAATAAACAACGGATCGTGGGGTCCATCCACACAGGGTCGAACGTGTTTTAAAAAAAAATGTGGAAGATGTTGATTTTTTTCTAGAAATCTGGATATATTACATGTGTGGTAGGACTATTGTAATTCCATCCGGGTTACAAACCGCCTATATATAAAAAAGCCGAGACGTTTAATCGCGTTTCCGTTTCAGTCTGTGGATTTCCTGGAGGTCATCAATGTATCAATCAAACCCTGTTTAACTTATTTTCCTCTTTTATTACAGAAAAAACATTTTTGCCGCTGATTCCATCTTAAAATTTCACAGGTGTTTGAGCCCAGCCTTTTTCATAGACTTGTAAGTCTGATTCTATTAATTATGCCAAAATTTACAGTGATATTAAGGAATTAATACCTGTAGCCTTTATCATCAGCAACATAGTCGTACCGCCTAGACCTGCCCAGGGCATCTATATAACCATAGTTTCCCACTACTGTGCCATTCGGATACCGTTCTTCGGAGCGAAATTGAGTATTTCCCGTTTCCGGATCCAAAACGTCGTAACCGAAAGTGTATGTGCCTGAAAGTTTTATTTAAAAATAGAGTTCATATGTTATACAACACATATAAAACGAATGTATCGGGAAAATTATAATTCTTATTAGTCCACAGTTGGGCTTGACCACCTCTGTAGCCGAATGCCGCATTCGGCTTAAGTCTATTCGCACATTAGTCTAATCAACTACTCGCCTGTTAAAAAGTACGAAAGTGAAACGGCCACAGAAATGTGTTCGCCCCAAGCCCCACGAGGGGGAAACGGGATTTCACTTACCACAATTGAGACATGGGTAATCTTAAGGTAAGGTCTTATATTTCTGCGTGTGATCACAATTTATTTGCATTGGAAAGTTGACTTGAGTTATTGCACTTTTTGAAATGAAAGTAGAAGTGGAAGAAGACTTTAAGTATTTATTTTTTACATGTTAAATATATTCAAACATTTACTTTTATTATACGTTTGTAGTTACTCAGTAAAATAATTAAAACAAACCGTTACTATTGGTGAAAGTAGACATAGGTTTTTCTATTGAAATAAAACACTTTAACAGTTTATAACGCGATATATATTAGTTAAACTTATTTTAACTACGGCCCGACATTTCGCATGCTTTACAACAACCGCGGTCACGAGGACACTAAAAGTTAATTTAGTTAATTACTTACCATCTCTGCCTCTATAGAAGTAGCTTGGCATTTGATCTGCTAAACTTAAACGAGGCTGTCTAAGAGGTGATGCACAACACATAACGAATAATGATGTTAGTGTCAGAATCTGTAAATTTTATTTTTTTAAGCATATTATTTTTAGAAATTTTAATGCATTTTCTATTTCTATCTATACAATGATGCATCTCATTAGATACAGTTATTAGCCCGTTAAGCCGGACTGGAGCATCTTGGTTGGTCTTTTACACCCTCTCTCTATAGTGAGAGTATACCTATGCCCAGCTGTGGGACACTGCTATGTTGAAACGTTATAAATAATAAGTTTTATTAACGTTTAAATAAAAATCCGTCATGTTTACGATTTTCTCCGAACCAAGGAATATTTATCAAGCTTTTTCTATATCAACGTCACTTTGAGTAATGACGACCATTTGTTCATGGTGGGTCGAAAACGATTTGTTCAATATTATTGTTTATAACGGACCATTTACTATACGAACATATTGTTGTGTTCTTAAAGAATTATAAAAAAAAATAACTACACTTTTTGACTTATTTTACGCCAACATTATAATCTTAATAAAGATAAGCTCTACGAAGTACAAGGTTCAATTTCGGAAAAAAACAAATTCTCGGAAGAATACTATTTTGTTTAATCGCCTCTATTGCATGAATTGCATTTTAAATCGATTACGCCAATTTTTCTATGATTTAGGAGATTTATTTGACTCCGCTAGAGACAAAGTAGCCTAACTGCAATTTCATGATTAGTCATTTCATGATCAGTTATTTATATTTTTATGGTCTAAAAATCTCAACCTACAAGACCTTGCTGACCGAAAATTGTTAGCATAATTCTTCGCAAATAATAGTACAAATTCATTTTTGCCTAAGATAATTGTGCATTTTTATTATCCTCCTTAGTAAAAATCTTGTTTTTTTTTTATTAGGCGACTCTGAATCTGTTGTCCTCATCTGATCTTGTTTTGAATTAACTTTAAGTGGTATTATTATTTATATACCTTTCAGAGTAAACAATTTGATATATGACATGAAACTACATAATAAATTGTGTTTTTATCTACTAAAATTCCGTTTTTTTTTTATCAAATTAATATTAAAAATTATATACAGAATGGATTAATCATTTATTATTTGAGACGACTAAAAATAAATTGATCCATCTAATTACCCATTATTATAAATTAATTTATTAATCTAAAAAACAAAAGACCCTACCTTTATCATCATCAGCTCATCCATGGCTTCCGCACAGAATTGCAAGCACAGTCACAAACACCATAAACAAGAGCGCTCTTCTTGCGAACGTCTTGGTTATATTCCGTTTCGCGAAAAGCCTCGTAGTATCGTAAAGATAGTGGGTGAAGGTAATTTCGCCCATATCCGTAGGCTGATGTCATGCCATTAGGTACAGCAGGATAAGGAATGGCCGTTGGAAGGCGACGAAATGTGTTCTCGAAGCGCCTAACGGTTGCTCGTAAATCAGACATTCTTAATTGGACGTTAGTTCTTGTTCTATTAATTCTCGTTTTAAATACTGTCTATAGTTTACGCGAGTAGTACACATTTAAATAAAACACTTTAACTAATATAGGAGACTGTCTCCCCGTGACCACGGCTGCTGCAAAGCATCCGAAACGTCGGGCCGAAATTAAAAATCATTTTCAAATAAGTTTAACTAATATATCGCGTTTTAAACCATTAAAGTGTTTTATTTAAAAAATCTATAGTTATCTTACAAATATTCCTTAATTTTTATATAATACGTATGTCCACGTGTGTAACGCATTTAAACTATAATTTATAATTACATGATATTCTAAATAAACACGTTGATTTATATGTATAAGTAGAATTTTAATAATCTTTTTTAATTAAATATTTTTAAACTCCATAAGATCTATTTTGTTCATATAAAGACCTAAAACTTAAATATAGGGAGTGTATTTTTTACTTTCGCTAACAGATAAAAATTCAGATATCTGTTAAAAAGTTGATAATTAATATGCGTTTTACGATTTTTGTTCTTGAAACATTATAATGTTTAAGACTTAACCAATTACCAATGTCTCAAAAAACAAAAGCCGACGTTTCACGAAGAATATCTTTTTTCCAATTTTTATTTGAAACTGTTTGACAAAATTACTATATCCGTCCGTCTTCGTCCATTACTAATATACTCATATATCATTCCATAGTCCATAATAATTCCACTCAAAGCTACGTTTGAAAAACATTACCCCCAAAAGACAGAGTCAGTTAAATAAATGTTCTTATGAGAAATGATTCCTGTCCTAATGTTTTCATCGCGATATTCGATACGTGATAATTCTACTAAGTGCCAGCACCATATTAATGTTACCACCACGGCCCCAAAAAGCGTATCATCGGTAAAATCTTTAACATTTTGTACCAGAGTGTTGTTGTTCATAAATATCTCAATGAAAGGCGCTATATTGTAAACGACAAATATGGTGACTTTGAAATGCCGACTCCTCCCACGACCATCGCCTACGTTTTGCTATTTCTATTATATACAGACTGTTGCATTATTTAAGTTCGTTTTTGTTCTAAAATAGGCCTTTTATATGTAAAATGCAATTCAGTACATTTACTGAAACGGCTATAACTTTCTGCTGTAAAATTCTTTGCTTATCATATTTTTTGTCGATAAATAGCGCATTGTGTTAATACTGTAGGACAAAATTACTATAGCTTCCTTCAATCGTGAGAAAGAATCAAATGGTGAAGAAAACCCTTTAAGTTAAAAACACAAATTGTATTAGTTAAATAATTTTAAATCGAGGTTCTTATGTTTCGAATATGTAATATATAGTAATCGTAATCATCTGGGACCATGTTAAACTATTAGTTAGCATTTTTAAATTATATTTATTTAGCCTTAAAGCTTTAGAATGAAAAGAATAAACACGTTTGTCTTAAAAACATGTTAAAATTGCAGTATAATTTAGAAACATGCTGTATATCTCATTAATAAGCGATTAAAATAAATATATAGAAATTGTTTATCGCCAAAAATATCTTTGTCTACATAACCGGATATAGAAAAATTAATTAAGATCATTTAATTGCCTTTAAAATTGAGAGCTTTTGCTAATAACAAAATGAGTTCATTGTACTCTTAAATCTACATATTGTAGTGTTATATAGATGAAACGAAATAATTATATCTTTGTCCTGTCCCAGTGGTGGGAAGATGGAAAATACCAATGAGGATACAGTCACTGGAACATGTAGCAATTGGGATTTCTGATTATGCAACAGTTAAGACGAGTAATGTGTGTTTTCCGTTGACCTTGCTTATGTAACAGTTTATTAAGCTGTAACTATTTAACTTAAATAAATTCTGTCTCAGGAAGAACTAATTGATTGTTTATAATAGTGGATCAGACTTCGGTTCGCTGTTCAACGGAAGTTTTATGTTTTTCCACGAGTAAAATCTATCTCCCACCTTTGGTAATGCAGGTTCAACCTTTGAGTACTTAAAAATGTTACATAACTCCATGGCACTTGCAATTCAACAATTCATCAGTATTTAGAGTAGCAATATAATTTGTGAAGTCAATATTGAAATGTAAAATGACACTATCAATTGTAATATTTTAACGATGTATTTATTCACTCCGGTTCCGATTACTTGACGGTACTCAAAACTAATTCGACTGTCAAGTAGTTTTTATATCGGTATAACTTAATGATTGAGTTTGCATAATATTATTTTTGTAGTTCTCAGTATTGTTATTAATTTAAATAATTGTGAAAACAAATGTTTCACTTATATTTGAAATCTTTAATATTTTTGCAAATAGACAATAGATGGCGCTTCATTGTAGATATATTTCGTGCATCGCGCTATTATTGTTATTTGTCAATGTATGACAACCCCAGTTGAGGATTGTCAATGTTACTCTGGTTTCCCTTCAAAACGTATAAATCTTTCGCCTTTTACTAAAGATTTCCGTGGAGGGGAACACTCAAATGAGTCTAACTCAATTTTTGATACCCTATTTCAGGGTTTATATATTATATAGAACATTCAAGCAGATATTGCGAAGTAATTTGATTTACAAAATAATCTCCCCGCGTCATTTTTGTTTTTCTATAAGATAACCTAAACTTGCAATTCTCAAACTTGTTACATAAGATTATTATTAAGATCGATTTAGGTTGACAAAGAATCGAATGAATGACAAAGTACAATCGGTTAAGGCAACAGCATTGAATATTGAATGCCGGTTCAAGTCCCGTCCGTGTCGCATTTTTTAAAACCTAAATAGATTTTAATCTATACTAATATACTGTCTGTAGTTTACGCGAGTAGTACACATTTAAATAAAACCCGTTAACGGTTTAATTTTGAAAATTACTTTTACTACGGCCCCACGTTTCTAATGCCAAATCAGGTTATCTGATTAGAGAATAGAAACTATGCAAAGAGAGCGTTTGTATTATCGGTTCGAAACAACAACCAACACTTTAGAATATGTTTTATGTAGTTTATTATTTTGTAAATCACATTCTTTCGTGAATTCAGCTTGAGTGAATATAAATAACATTTATAAACCCTGAAAACAGGGTATCAAAAATTGAGTTAGACTCATTTGAGTGTTCCCCTCCACGGAAATCTTTAGTAAAAGGCGAAAGATTTATACGTTTTGAAGGGAAACCAGAGTAACGTTGACAGCCGTCAACTGGGGTTGTCATACATGGACAAACAACAATGACAGCGCGATGCACGAAAAATACATAAAATGAAGCGCCATCTATTGTCAATTCGTAAACTATTCAATGATTTATATTATATCGATTTTGATATTGATCAATTATTGTATAAAGATTATAATATACACGATTATTAAATTCTTTTTTTATGAATTTAACCGAAAAATGCTTTTAATTCTCTATTTGGGTATATCTTAACACGACAGTGAATCTCATGGTGTATTGTTAGCGTCTGTTATGAAAAATTACAACAGTGTTGCCAGACATACAACTTGACGAATAACGGCAGTACTAAAATATTTATCAGTTGCTAGACACGACGACGTTCGCTTCTTGACTTAGACAATATTATCGGAAGTAACACTCGCCTTTTACTCGCTTCTAGTTCAACGGCGGTGGAACAGCTGACGAAAACCTATATAGTTTCATTAAGTTTCTTCTATTGATGCTCCTATGGAACTTACAGCAGAACAATACGTAGTTCGCTTTTAGATGGAGAAATATAAATAAAATACAAACATGTTTATTATAAATACTCGTAGAGATATCCTATAAGGTCCTATAAGGTGATCCTATAAGGTTCGTGTAATGTATGTATGATCAAATTCTTCGTATCGATAGTAAAAACACAATATGGCCTTTGCAAAAGTCGAAATATTTCCGGATATTATATTTCTAGAGTTTTATGTTTACAACTTGAACATTTAATGGGCTATAAACGCAGTGAACCTTATAAAACAACAAAGTCAATGAACTTACCTACTTCCAATGACACGTTGCGGTGGTTTTATTATATCTAATACATAAATCCATTTTTCGCAGTGTCGTAAAACTTTAGATTACAAATCATAAAATAACACAACTTTTAAATAGCTCGTTTATTTTATCAAAAATGTATCTTAAGTAGTAAACTTAGGTTCAAAATATACCTAATAACGAAATAAATTAACGCTTACATCACCTTACTTTAGTCATTATAAACCGCGCCATATAACGTGTACTTAAACTTATTTTATTGATTCTTTAGAGAATCGTCATCGAATGAAAGACGTAACTGGTAGGGCCGGAGTGTAGTGAACTGGGGCATGTAGAACTCTTGCCTAGAACAAAATGCAGGAGTTAATATTGTTACACAGGAGAAAAGCCGCGCATGAGTTTCACACAATAAAAGGTGCAAAATCATAACACCTAAGTAATTACGATAGGCTGTCAGACTATTTGGCTTTGGACACTCGGTAATCCAATCCAAAAACCAACCAATTGGTATTTGGATTAGATTTCCTAGCGGACGATAATAATAATTGTATTGTAGCTTATTTTAGTTCCCTTTATTTTTCTGTTTAATCATCAAATTTAAAATTTTAAAAAATTTTAACATTATTATTATTATTTGCATGTTATTGTAAATATAAGCATTATATAAGTTAAAAATATATTTATAATGTAAAAAAAAACATATGACACTGTCGGGACTTAAACCGGCTCTAACCATTTGAGCGTGTCGGACGTGTCTGTCTATGCCGCTTCAAGTCCCACCCGTGTCATATATTTTTTTAATATAATATATTTTAAGGGAATAATGTAAACAAATAGACCTAAACATTTAATTCTCAATAAAAAAATGATATGTACGCAATATATATATATATATATATATATATATATATATATATATATATATATATATATAGATAATACACTAGCTGTGTCAGCGACTTCGTCTGTGGAATAGTTATTTTGGACATATTTTTTTTGGCAAACTATTTTTAGAAGTTTATTATATATATATATACCCCGTTCTCTCCACATTTCCTGATGTTTCTTCGCTCCTATTAGTCGCAGCGATTTAGTCTTAAGCCTTCCTGGATAAATTCTCTGAGCAACACAAAAATATTTTTTAAATTCGAACCAGTAGTTTCTGAGATTAGCATATTGAAACAAACGAACAAACAAACTCTTCAGCTTTTTATATTAGTATGACTCACCGGATGCACAGCGTGTCCAGTTCTATGCACCACGGCATTGAACCCGTTATGATCGTCAGCTGTATACGAGACAGTGCGAGTTGTGCCATCTGGTTCCACTAACGAATAACTACCTAAAAATAAATTAACTATAATGCCTACAAGTTGAAATTAGGCAACTAGGTAAATACAACAGATATTCAATTCAATGCTTAATCCATTTAAATAAAACACTTTACTCGTTTAAAACGAGATATAATAAACCGTTTAAGTGTTTTATTTAAATCTCTACTACTCGCGTAAACTACAGACAGTATTTCTTTACCCATGTGGTTTATTTAGATAGCAAATTGATATAGAGAATAGTTCAAGACTTTTGAACAAATAAAAAACACATGCTCATGATGGCAAATTAGAAATCGATTGTAAATTGAAAAAAAATACGACACGGGCAGGTCTTGAACTTGAATTCTATCGTCAATATAGTACTCGCAGTGCATACGACGAAATGTCTTGTAGCATTTTGTAACCTATGTTAATGTTACTTAAGTCTTAGTGAAATTTCCATTATAATTTCTATCAATAAATAACATAAGTTACTCAGGACGAATGGTGTCTCAGTTTTTCTTTACAAACACCCAACAAGAAATACAAACTTTGTCAAAGTGTTATTTAATAATCTACACCTATTTCTTGAAATATAGCGGTACAGAGATACCGAGAGAGATAATAAATTAATATTTACCTCTAACAGCGTCCCCATTTCTCTCTTCCTGTTGTGACTTGATGTCGCCAGTGTGGGGATCCTTAACTCCATAATTGAAGGAATATCTTGGATACGCCTATAGCAATAAAAAAAATCAATTACGATATTTTTTTAATAATACAGGAGGACAGACAAGTTCATTTAAAGAAGATATGATGTCGGCCTATTTTGGCTTTGGATATTCGGAAATATTAGAAACTTGGACCCAGTAGGGATCGAATCCGTTGATTATTACCCATACGTTGCTACCATTAGACAAACGAAATACTAACAACTGGACGTACAGCTACTGGAACTGGTACAGGAGCGTGAAATGCAGTGAAGGTTACCGCTTGTGCTGCCACCACACTCATGCAGGCCAAAAGACCTAAAATCTGGGAAAATCAAAACTTAATTACTGTCTATAGTAATATATATTCTATAGTAGTCTATAATACGCAAATAGTACACATTTAAATAAAATATTTCACTGTTTAATTTGTGAAATATATTAGACTTATTTGAACTACGGCCCGTTTCCCAGCGACCAAGCTGCTGTAAAACATCCGAAACATCGGACCGTAGTTAAAAAATATTAAAATAATAATAAGTTTCAAACCAATTAAGGTTTTTGTTTATATTGGTTTGTCATCAAATAGTCGCTTTTTATTTCAATACAAGTGTGGTTCGTAAACCGTTCTAGAACGCGCGGAATTCTTAAGTTCGATTCCCTTACGTGTCAACAAATTTTGCCAGTATATACTTATCTTTTCGATTATACAAGCTATCAAATGCACTTAGCATATAAAACTTGATAATGTTTCATACGTTTAACAATATAATTCTAAATGGATCGACTTGCTGTTGCATACTAAAAATCACTGAATTAAATCTGTATATTTTAGTTATATACAGATCAAATAACACTTATGGAAACGAGAAATTTTAACGAACTATATACCACGTAATGTATATTTACCAAACACTTCTATCTAGGCTACAGTTATTCTAAAGATCACTTACCAACATTGTGCCAAAAACAACACAAACACGAGATAAGATCTAGCTTAGCCTAACGAGCTTCTAGGAATAGCTTAGGCTTATAAAGGGCCCCACCATTATACACAGTGTGTACAGAAACATTTCATATAATATTATACATATGTATGTATAGTATTTTGTATTGAGACTTTAAGAATGGAATTTTGTTGATTTGTCTTAGATTTAGGTCAATAATTGTCTCATGCTTGCAACCACGTCTTAGGTATCTAACCGACTTCAAAAAAAGAAGGTTCGCGCACAACTTCGTCGTTTAGGAACCTATTGTGAGATTTCTTTTCGTTTAACAATGTGTACATATTATCAATAATATTATAAACATATGTATGCAATAATTTATATTTATTAAACTGTTTAAAGGCGGTAATTTCTACGTAGTAAATGAAATTCAATTAAAGATAACTTAACTATTAAATATAAACGTTTTAAACCGTTAAAAGACGTTTATTTAAATGTGTACTACGTGATCGACAATACTTATGCGATGTGTTAAAAACTGTCTACGTCTTATCTTTTTGGAATAAGCCGTTAGGTGCATACGGATCTTTTAGTTAAATAAATAATGCATTATTCATTTTTTCTTTGTCTCTGATTTCTTTATAATGGTACTTCAAATTTAGTGTACAAATAAATGGAAAGGTTAAAACGTTTAAATAAAACATTTTAACGGTTTAAAACGCGATATATTAGTTAAACTTATTTGAAAATGATTTTAATGAAAGTCTCCCCGTGACCACGGCCGCTGCAAAGCATCCGAAACGTCGGGCCGAAGTTAAAAATCATTTTCAAATAAGTTTAACTAATATATCGCGTTTTAAACCGTTAAAGCGTTTTATTTAAATGTGTACTACTCGCGTAAACTATAGACAGTATTTAAGGTTAAAACGATAATACTAAGGTATCCTTACCAATTATTTTATCTACATCTGTTTTACCTAAGAGAACAGCAGTTTACCCTAGATTTACAGGTATGTTATACAAATATTATTGACTAACATTCCTAGATATGAAATAAAAACTAAATACCCCAGATTGTATTGGTGAGGCATTTGACACACATTAATATCTGCATAGTATGGTATTAGCCAACTTTGTGTCTTAGCACTGAGCGTGAGAAATATATATATTTTAAAAATTTCATTATAAGTATGTATGTACTAGGTACTAGAAGCCATATACAAGTTTTTAAATGTATCTATTGTAATCAAACCTTTATATACATTAAAACAATAAAATGTACATTAAAATAATAAAACATCATTCCACGAACTGCATTTCAAATTTATAGGTAAAAAACATACCCAGAACCCGCCGTTCTTGCGAGATAATTTAAAAATGAAGATAGTGAGACAGAAATAAAGGTAGAGACATGGTGTTCTGTATTTTTTTTATCAATAAAACGCCCTTATATTCTTGCAGCGTATGCCCTCAAAGATGCTTACGAAGATGCTCATGTTAGTCGCAGCGTGATATTTTCCTGTGATATTTGTGTTCGTTGGAGCCTTTCTCGAGAAATGCTCCAACGAACACAAATATAATTTTTCACACGAAGAAAAAATATTTTAATTCAAACCAGTAGTTCCTGAGATTGGTGCATCCAAACAAACATGGCCAGCATTATAATATTAGTAGGTATTGATGATTAATATTTTGGCAGCAAGACCAATGAATGTTGCATTAGGTTTTTAGTAATTTAAATAACTTATAATTTTTGTGTTACACTAGTTTTTAAAAACATTAATTAATGTGATTTGAATAAAACATTTGTTAGGGTTTAAAAGTACAAATATAATAGTTTCCAACTTTTAACAGTTCCCATGACCGCGGCTACAGCAGAGCATCCGAAACGTCGGATCTTAGTTAAAATCAATTAATAATGAATTAAGTAATATAATAACGTTTTAAACCGTTAATAATGCTTCCCTTAAATGTGTACCACTCGTCTAAACTACAGACTATAGATGATGACTTGCTATATCGCCTGTATGACTTTAATAATCTTTACAGAATGTTGTTCCTTACACTGTCTTGGATAAATAATATCATAATTCTAGGGACAGGATAAAGTGATATCATAACTAGAGGCATAATTAATATAAATTTAAAAGATGCGTAAGACGTTTTCTGTGTGTACATGATTACTTTTAAATAACGTGTTATCTCCCAAAAGGTCAGTAAGCTTTTAACCTAGTGGTACTTTAATGAATATTTATAGTTTAGTAGCTTTTGCCCGTGCCTTCGCCCTCGGTTAATTGGAGGCAACACGGTTTATATCACAGAAAAAAAAATGCTTTGAAAATATTTATTACTCACAAAATATAGTCTGTCATACCAATTTTTAGCTTTCTACCTTTGAAAATTGCGGAATTCTCCATACAAACTTTCACCCACCCTCCCCCTATTTTAGGGAAGTTGGGGGGTAGATAGAGACAACGAATAGCCTATTTCACTCACTATTCTTTCAACTATCTTCACCTCAATCCATCGCTCCATTTTGCCGTGAACCTTTGTCCGTCTACAAACAAACATATATACATTTACATTTATAATATTAGTATGGATACGATGTACTTACTTAGACGGACTGACTTAACTGGTTATTGAGGTAGAAACACATCATAAACATAATCACGTATTTGAGTTCCTATTTCTTACACTAAGCATCCTTTGATTGCTAACAATCATATAAAAAACACGCCTATTACGTTATAGATCATATGAGTTCCATTCGAACATTAGCCCAATTTTAGCAGACCTAAATCTAAAATCTGTCTATATCAGCTTAGCTCATTTCATCTCTGGATTGCATCTGTATTATCTTAAAGAGGCACAATGTCGTAAACATCCGCACACACAATGGGAAGTTCAGATATGCACAGCCCACAGTCAGGTACGCCGAGCCCTGTGCGCCCGCGCATCGCGCCAGTATGGAAAGTGCGTTATTTATTTATTTCCGTAGTAAACATTATCTGTGCCCACCTTAGTACAGATATAGACACCGCATCGATCAGACAGCGTTAAAATTGATTGATTCGAAAGAACGGTCAATGAGATTAACCCCGCAAATGGATTTCGGCTGTTACGACAAGGATTCGGGCGAAGTGGAGTGTTACCTCGAAATACGTAAATACATTTTAAACGAAACTAATTCGCCGATTTATCGTTCATTTCGTATCGTATTGTAATTTATATTTTTAGTTGGAAACTTTGATTTGGGTCGCGTAAACACGCGGTCTACTGACAGTAGGTTGCTCTGGATGTCAGTCTGTGATCGTTAGCCGAGAAACACTGTTATGAGTGTTAATCTCTTTTTCGGTTAATTGATTGGTATCATTTGGTTGATGATGCGTGCGGAAGTTAGGTCGACCAATTCGAGGCGAGACGAGCCCAGCCGTGAGTAATGGATATGTTGGTTGATGGATTTTTGCTCATCCAGACTAATGGTGCTTTTAAAAATTTTAGATTACGATACGGGCACGTCTTGCGCTATCACAATTCAAATGCGTGAGTATTCTTTGTGATTCGGTACTTGGAACCTTTTAAGAATCGCTATTATTAGGCATACACGGTCCTGCAATACACGAGAATTAAATACGCAGAGATTTATGACTCTTATCGTCGGTACGTCGATTCGCAAGGCTGCATGCAATAAATCAAAACCAAATCGGTAACTACAATCCATAAGTTCATTAATAGTTCATATTTTATAGCTAACTAATACGTTTAGAAAACGAAATTTGAAGAAAACGAAAACGCAGTTATACCGAAACGAGGTGGGCAAGACGAAGATTAGATGTATATCGAAGGGCAAAGGTTTATAATAAGTGGTTATCGTAAATGATTAAATGTATGGTAAATTATTAACATAAATTATTTTTTACCTGTTCAATAGCTAAGCATTGCAAATAATGACACTATTATAGGAATAAAAGGGATAACTTTTCGAAAATTAATATTCACCTAATTTGAGATTCAGTTATTTTTGGTTAATTATAGTCATAAGGTTTTATTAACAATAACAAAATATTTTGTTAACTGGTAACATAAAGCTATTTTACCTGTTCAATAGACATTACAAACAATGAAAATATAGAAGGTATGAAAGGGACAATTGTTCGAAAAGCTGTATTCACATAATCTAAGATTCCGTTATCTACAATAGTAGTATTTTATTTATAGCAATCTATCTATAAAGTAATTATTACAATTAATTATTAAACCCTTCTACATTTGTTTCAGCAGCGAATCCAGAAGCAGTTGGTTGCGTGGAGAGATTCGCTACGTTGATGTCACTTCTTCTCGTCATCATTACGTTCCCGTTTTCACTGTTTGAATGTTTTAAAGTAAGTTATCCCGCGTCGGTTTAAAACGCGATATATATTGGTGAAACTTTTTTGAACTTATTTCAACTACTACCCGACGTTCTGTTGTAGCTGGTATTTCGAAACTGGCCGGGAACAGATTATGCGTAGCAGTGTTTACTTTGATATCAGAGACACCCTCCATTTTTAGTCCTCCCGTGACCACGGCTGTTGCAAAGCATCCAAAACGTCGAGCCATAGTTAAAATAATTTTGAAATAAGTTAACCTAATATATACCCCGTTTACCGTTAAAGTGTTGTATTTAAATGTGTACTACTCGCGTAAACTACAAACAGTATTTAACTTTCTTCTAGTCAAACGTCAATTTGTCTAAATTACCAGTTACAGTTCCACACTAATACTATTCTTATGTCCAGGTGGTCCAAGAATTTGAAAGAGCAGTGATATTTCGTCTAGGAAGACTTCGAAAAGGTGGCGCACGAGGTCCCGGTCTTTTCTTCGTTCTTCCGTGTATAGACACCTATAGAAAAGTGGATTTGAGGACTGTGTCATTTGATGTGCCCCCACAAGAGGTTGGTAAAGAAAGATTATAATAATCTTCCTACAAATATGTGTCAAAGTTTAAATAAAACACTTAAACGGTTCAAAACGCGATATATATGTATTAGTTAAACTTATTTGAAAATTGTTTTAACTACGGCCCGACGTTTCGGATGCTTTGCAGCAGTCGTCACGGTAGGACCCCGTAATAATTACGACAGAAAGTCGAGTCGTAGTTAAAATCATTTTCAAGTAAGTTTAACTAATATATATCGCGTTTTAAACCGTAAAAGTGTTTTATTTAAATGCGTAAACGAATTTATTTCTCGAATACAGTAAATAAACTTCTCATTCACAAATTACTCCGCATAATAATTTAAAGTACGCCACATGGCCGACGAGGCAGTGGTATTGAAAACAGTTAACCCAAATCTGCTCCCGTTTAATTGACGCGGCTGTAAACCGTCAATCAAACATTTACGATGGACAAACAATTGTTCGACGTAAACCAATTGTCTTGAGAAAAACTAATAAAGCGTCTATTAATATCGGGGATGTTTTATGATACTTGCTTTCGTTGGATTTACGAGTAAATAGGTTTTGAATTACTATTTCGTGGACTTCGCTCTGATGGAAGTATTGTTCGGATATTTTTTATCAACTGCGAAATATAAAGTTTCGGAATTATAAAATACTTCAATAAATAATTCATTTTATTTTACCTACGTATATTTTTTTTCGCGAATCAAAATTAGTTTAAATTGCGTTGTTTTTTTTCTATATTTTATATATATTATTTTATTATATAATCCTTACCCCCCGGAGAGCGCTAGAACTCTTCCCGTTAGGAGGGAACACAGTTTGAATTAGTATTTCAATAAGATATTAAGTTTTATCTCACTCTTACTCACAATAAATATATATTGTGTCCAATCCTTATTATTTTTCGTTGTTGTATATATTTTGCTCTAAATCAGGCTGATTATCATACTCACCAACAACAATTATACAAAAAAATTAAGTAAAATATACATATTGAGTTAAAAATTAATTTATATTTGCGTTTTAAACCATTCATATTGTTTTTTTTTATAACTAATTATTTAGACTTTTTCATACTGACAATGGGTCGAGCTTTGAAACCGGCCTATCTCTTTATAGACTACGGTTCGTATCATAATTCTGCGTGCACAGTGTTTATTTGTTCATGTCAAATATTATTAAACCGCTGACAGACACCAAGCAGTGGCGTGGCTCCGTGCCCTCAATTTGTGGTTACGATCACCAGTTACTGAATCCAAAAATAAAATTAAAATCAAACGCTTTTGGTAATGGCTGGATACAATAATTAGTTGTATATTATATGCAAAAAAAAAAATATTATATCGACAAATACCACCTTCGACGGAACAGGTGCCGCTAGCGTAGCAGTATTTTACTTTGACATCATAGACACCCTCTATCTTTAGTCTCCCCTGGCTGTTCAGAAAAGCATCAGAAAAGCTTTACAGCAGCCGTGGTCACGGGTTATTCTACCCGTGACCTACTGACTAATATAAATCTCGGTTTACACCGTTAAAGTGTTTTTTTCAATAATTACTATATTTCAGGTTCTAACAAGAGACTCAGTGACGGTAGCCGTCGATGCTGTAGTTTATTACAGAATCAAAGAACCATTAAATGCCGTCGTTAGAGTTGCTGATTACAGGTAAGCAAATACTGCAGCATCAAAATAAATTGTGGATGATTGTGACAGATAGTATAATGTATGTTATTTATATTATAAATAAAATCAATCTAGTGTGAATCAGACACACGCACGTAAAAAGTAGCAGGTCTACAAATTTTATATTATAACCTTTTTAGGTTACATCACATTCAGGTCTATTAACATTACTGATATAGGACGAAAAAGGTACAAAGTGTGCCTGAAGCTCTAATATACAATTCATTCAAGCCCATTAATTTCAGTGCTTCTACAAGGCTTCTAGCAGCTACAACATTAAGGAATGTACTCGGCATGCGAGATCTCGCTCAACTGCTATCAGATAGAGAAGCTATAAGCCACATGATGCAAGCCAACTTGGATGAAGCCACTGATCCTTGGGGTGTGGAAGTGGAGAGAGTTGAAATGTAAGTTGAGATTAAACGTATGTATAGTGTCTTATTTCTTGTCTTTGTCAAGGATTATGGGGCTAGCTGACCTGGCAAACATTCTTATGCCATTTGAAGTTTTTCGACAAAGTTTAATTACCATAAAGGTCCTTGTGGGTTTATTTTGTAATATAGAAATATTTTTGTTGTAGATTATTTCCTAAAGGTTGATTCTTTCTAATTTGGGTATCTTAAACCGTTTGTGATAACGAAATAAGAACGTTAAAGATTTTTTTTTTTGTCCTATTAGTCGCAGCCTGATGTTTTGCTGAAGTGTTGGTGGATATGGTCTAATTTCCTGAGTAACCAGGCTTCTGAGATTAACACGTTTACACAAAATTCCCAGCTTTATAATATTACTATAGATCATTTGAGATTGGAATTGTGTAAAGATTTCGTCAGATCTGCTTATCGAAACACATTTTTAAATAAAACACTTTAACGGTTTAAAACGCGATATATTAGTTAAACTTATTGACAATGATTTTTAACTTCGGCCCGGGGAGACCGTATTCAACAAGTTTAACCAATATATTGCGTTTTATACCGTTAAAGTGATTTTTTTAAATGTGTACTACTCGCGTAAACTATAGACAGTATTTAAAACACATTTTTAAATCTATCTCAAGATTTTCATAATGTTTCAGTAAAGACGTTCGACTACCAGTGCAATTGCAGCGTGCTATGGCAGCGGAGGCGGAAGCAGATCGTGAAGCAAGAGCGAAGATTATCGCTGCTGAAGGTGAAATAAAAGCCTCTCGGGCGTTGAAAGAAGCCTCACTAGTCATGATAGATAATCCGATGGCACTGCAGGTAGATAATTTTTCCTGATTCAACCTTTCTTAGAAATCAGCATAATATATGTCTGAGAATCTGCGCTAGTTTAGTCCAACCTTATGTGTTTTTTTATACAAATTTAAGTTACTTAGTCTTAAAGCTTTGTCGTTAGGCTGTATATAGATTCTAAGTATTTTTATAATACGTATCAGAAAATTATTCTTGTGTTCTCTATTATTTTTTCACAAATCCGTAATTTATAGTCTGGCATTGTTTTGATCGTGGACTACAGTGTTGAATTCCCGTATTCTTACTTAATAATTGATTGTTATATTATATTTTTCTTACCTTATGGATCATTATATTAATTAAAGATTTTTATTTTCAGTTACGATATCTACAATCACTGAACACAATATCTGCTGAGAAGAACTCGACGATCATATTTCCGTTTCCTATGGATTTCTTGAGGAGTTTCATGAGCAGCGGAGCAGGAAATAGCATGCCACATTCTCCCCTCCCTATTTGATTAAGTTTAACTAAGACTAGGATAACTTATAGGAAAAACTCAATACGCGTCTTTTGCTTTAAATTGTATATTGTAAGTGCGTGAATGTTTGTTGTATCATTATATAGTATGAGAGGCTAAATTGAAAAAAATACTTTAAGTTCAGATAAGACGAGTCGGGTGCCACTTGTTTAAAATATGATTTATACTTTAATTATAAATTTACTTGTTTTAGAACGAAGTAGTCATACAATACTAGTCTTTTAATATATTAATTTTATAAATTTATTTTGGGATAGATTTAAGCTGTTGAAGTGAAATGTATTGTAGAATTACAAAAACTTAAATAATAAAAATAAAATAAATAAGATTTTGTTTTTCAAATAAAACGGTTTAAAACGCGATATATTAGTAAAACTTGTTTGAAAATGATTTTACTGTGTACTGCTTGCGTAAACTCTATAGTTTACGCGAGTAGTACATATTTAGGATTTTGTTTTGTTAATAGTAAACAGAATGTATTTTTCTTCCCTGTGTTATTCTGCGTTTGTTTTCCATCTTAACAATAATTCTCTATTGTTTATTTATAGTCTATGTATGTCTGTGTAGTGTCATCTAGTGTCAGAAGGGTTGTATCATTAGGATAATAATATACATTTCGTGTATAGTTGTATTTTTTTAGTAAATTACATGCTATGGTTTCAATCTGTGCAGTATAAAATGGTTATAAATAATAGATCTAAAATAGATCTCACAGGTAAGTAATGCTTGTTGGAAGATTTTTGCTTGTAGGATCATTTTGGGTATTATATTTTATGGTAAGTTATAAATATATATTTTTACAGAAATCCACAAAGAAACGTTAATAGAGAGAATATTTAAATTCCTTGCTATATTAATGGTCATTATATTTCCAATTGCATTGGTGTTTTGTTTCAGAGTAAGTTTTATATTGACATAATCTCTCTTTAACATTAATTCTACCTGGTTCTTGTTCTTGTGACAATATTGGCTTTGGGGTGAAATAATCTGTAAAGCTTATCAAGGAAAATGTCTCTTTTTGGACAGCTTGAAATGCCTTTTCATCCTGGGGAAAATCTTCTCCAATACCACCAGAAGAAGCCAATAGATTATGCCGGACTTATACCGACAAAACCCTATAGAGAAGCTCGGACACAATTAAGAAAATAAAAAATGTCTACCTTTATAATAACCTTTTTCAGGTTGTGAAACAGTACAAACGAGCCGTCGTGTTGCGATTTGGTAGAGTGAGGTGCGATTCTCCTGCAGGACCTGGAATTATATGGGTTGTGCCCTGTACTGACAACGTGGTCTTCATAGACTTGAGAACACAGTCATTCAATTTGGCACCACAAGAAGTAAATAAATCTGAATTTGATTTTCTTTATTCAATGTTTATATATATAAAAAAAATGGTTTATTTACTTTTATTTTCTTAGAAATATTTACAAAATCACTTATATAAAAAACCACAAAGTATTATAAATTCTAATTCTAAGTTTTTATTACAAGTTGTTTGTTTAGTGCTTCACAAACAATCATTCAATTTCTTTATAAGCAATAACGATAATCTTCCTTCTCAGTAGCATACAATCTCTTGAGTGAAAGAAAGGGGGGGAGGGATGGAAGAAGCACTGAAAATTAATATAGCATTCGCAATTATTTCAGATTCTCACTAAAGACTCTGTGACAGTCCATGTTGACGCCGTCGTCTATTTTCACGTCACGAACCCTTTATCCAGCTTACTTAACGTCCAATCGCACAAGTAATACCGCATATTGTCTTTGACTTCTTCTGATTACATTGTATTATTTAAATAAAACACTATAACGGTTTAAAACGCCATATATATATTACTTAAACTTATTTAAAACATTATTTTAACTACGCCCCCCACAATCTCCCCGTGATCACGGTTGGTGCAAAGCATCTGAATCGTCGGGCCGTAGTTAAAATAATTTTAACTAATATATATCGCGTTTTAAACCGTAATTGTTTTATTTAAATGTTTACTACTCGAGTAAACTACGAACAGTATTGCATTGTATTATCTAAATAATTGTTTCAGAAAAGCGACAGAGCTTCTGTCTGTATCATTTTTAAGAAACATCTTGGGACAGTACACGCTATCCGAGTTGCTCTCAAACAGAGTTTTAATAAGTGATGCGTGTAGAAAAATCATTGATAAGGGAACAGTAGCGTGGGGTGTTGAGGTGGAAAGAGTGGAAATGTATGATTTTCTTAAGCTTCTTAGACTTAAAAAAGATATTCGAAGAATCAGCAAGGGCGCCATAATTGTGTAAAATGATTTAATTGAACCAATGCAATCATTCAAGTTTAATTTTACGATACAGTCATGCATTAAGCTGTTTTCTAGTATTTTTTTAATAACTCAAATAAGGGAAATTATATTAAATTTTGTACACCTATTACATTTGAATCCCAAGAGTAATGATTTAATTCATATTAATATCATGTTACCGTACTAAACCAAAATATATTTTTTAGCAAAGATGTGATATTGCCTTTTGAATTACAAAAGGCAATGGCTGCAGAAGCCGAAGGTGCTCGCATTGCAAAGGCAAAGATTATTGAGGCTGAAGGCGAAATTAAAGCAGCAGAAAACCTGAAGGAAGCAGCAAAACTCATGATGGAAAATCCAAAAGCCATGCTTGTGATTTCTTTGTCTATAAAATATATCAAAGACACTTATCAGTGCGTTATGTAATCCCGTAGTCCGTATGTGGGGCATGGGGCAGGCACAATTCTATATATGTTTCCTTTATCGAATCTATTTACAAGAATTAATTTTTATAATGCACTTATATTAACCGTTGAGATTATCCTTAGTTTCTGCGTATTAAGTATTGTCTGTAGTTTCCGTGGGAGTACTTATTTTATTAAAACTTTTAACAGTTTAAAACGAAAAATATATTAGTTAACTTAATTTTAATTCTTGTTTACAGTTGAGATATCTTCAAGCCTTGAACTCGATTGCGTCTCAACAGAAAAACACAATCATATTTCCATTTCCAATAGAAATTCCAAAACAATGAAGACTCAAGGAGATTTAAATAACAATAAATAAACTTCTTTCGCCCTAATTTTTATTTTATTCTGACAGGGCTGTCATAACTTTGTTAAACAAGCTCTATTCTAGACTATTTTGAAGGTTCTATTCTATAAAATGCACACACCAAATGAAAACGACGAAAATGTAAGGCTGCATCAGGAATCTCAACATCCGTCATTTTCAGCTTCTCCTATAGATCTGGAAAAGTGTTCTCCCCGAAGCCATCGTCCTCGGCTACAAGTCAACAAAGGTACATTCATATATTGAGAGAATTGTTGACAATCTTTCAAAGCTAAAATAGCAATGCCTTCGATGTCTAGTATTGTAGTTATTTCGTTTTTGTATCTTTCACCAACTTGTTTTTAAGAAATATATTTTCTTGCTTGTTTTCAGGAAAGGACAAACTGATAGAAAAGTTTTTAATTTTTCTTTCTATTCTTCTTGTTATAATTGCTTTTCCTCTGTCCTTAATTTGCATATTTGTGGTGAGTATAAATTATTTAATAATATTGAACCATCCCTTGTTGTAGTTTAATCGTAAGCATTTTTCTTCAGATAAGTCGTCAATTCGAAAGGGCTATAATTTTGAGGAACGGGAAGGTTCATAAAAATCGCGCCTTCGGTCCTGGACTTCTGTTTTACCTTCCTTGTGTGGATTCCGTCAAATTTATAGATCTCAGAACGTTTTGCTACGAAGTGCCACCTCAAGAAGTAGGTCCGCTTAATGCACATAATGAGACTGCTTTTTATTTGTATTTGGGTTAAAAGCTTACCTTCATATCGCTTACCTCTTAATTCGAAGCCTCCAATGCAATCTGATTGAAAGACTACGATTTAAAATCTACTGTGATCGAACAAATTTACGAGGGCAGGAATTGAACCAGAATTAAATCAATACATTCTTTTCCAGAGTCGTATTTTTTTTAATTTATATGGTGCCAGCATGTGTAATATAATAGGCATGTCAAAGATACTAAAGTTTTCAAAAGGCTATCACAAAATCACAAAGGCATATTATGTACATCGGATAAAACGTAGCAAATTTTCTTTCTTTGTATCTTTGAGTAATTTCTTAATAGCGTACTAAGAAATTCCTAAGCTCCGTTCTGTTAGTGTAGCCTTTTATAAGTATACATTCAACTTTACAGGCTTTAACAAGAGATTCATTGACCGTATCGGTGGACGCTGTTGTATTTTATAAAGTTTTTGAACCAGTATGGGCGGTAATAAATGTTACCAATTATAGGTAAGGTGCGGTCAAATATCTTACCATTTATTATTATAATAATTAACCTTATCTCGTCATTTAGGATTGCAACCCAGTTCTTAGCGTCTACTACACTTCGGTACGCATTGGGTACGACAAAACTAAGCGATTTATTGATAAACAGACCAGTGATAAGCCAGCAAGTACTTGAACTTATGAAGAACATAACAAAAGAATGGGGCGTTGAAGTCGTTAAAGTAGAAATGTTAGTGCTTAAAGAAGTCCACCACAAAATTATTTGGTCTGTAAATTATAAAAATAAATATGCTACCTTTGTTTTAAACCAAACCTAATCGAATATTATGTTACCTATATTTTACTTACACATTAAAAAAGTGCGTGAGAAAGTTAGGGGAAAATAATATAGTCTGTGTCTATTCGTTTAGTTAGTCACGACATGGAGCACATTTCCCCGAACGCGAATATGGATTGTCGAAGGTTTGACCGCAAAGCCTTAGGTATCGACTTCGTAAATGCGCAATCATGTTTGTTGGACTATATCTATCACTCTCACAACCCAACTAAAGAACCAATCCTCCACTGTTTGTAAAAAGATAGTGAGATAAAAATTCAAGAGTTGGTAGCTCAAAATATTTTTTTAAGAGGTTAAAACTCGATATATTCTTGTTGAACTTGTTTGAAAATTATTTTAAACTATGGCCCGACGTTTTGGATGCTTTCCAGCAGCCGGGGTCAAGGGGAGACAAGCAAAGCATCCGAAACGTCGCGCCGTAGTTAAAACATTTTTAAACAAGTTGAACTAGAATATATCGCGTTTTAAACCGTTTACTCTTATCTAGAGTATAAGCATCTACATTAAATAAACACCGTTAAGATTGACTAACATATTTTGTGTCTTGAACAATTTAGTGTTTTATTGAAAAGCAGTTGCATTGGAAGCAACGTCTAAATTTCAGTTTACGTAAAAGTGCAATTTAGTATTTTCAACACTGTAAGCGTAAGCCATTTCATTTGCAGCAAAGACATAAGATTACCTCTCCAATTACAAAAGGCGATGGCCGCTGAAGCTGAATCGACACGGTTGGCAAATGCAAAAATAATAGTTGCAAAATCCGAAATTGAGACAGCGAGAAATCTTCAATTGGCCACTAGTATACTGATGGACAATCCGATGTGCATGCAGGTCATCATTTCTACCCATATATGTCTCACCGCTGTGCTTCTTCTGGCTCGTTGGTCTAATAGTAGCATTGTATGATTAACGGGTCGTGGATTCGATCTCCATCAGGTCCAATAGTTTCTAATTTTTCAATTTTTATTTTTTCTGAAACACGCTGCACTTTGTCTGAAAATCTGGATAATAAATAGAAATTCCATCCAGGTGAACCACCGTCCATAGATGAAAAAGTGAAGTGCTAATAGAGTTTCGTTGGTTGTGGATTTCAGAATATCCACACCCAAAATAGGTGGAAAGTGCAATGCAATGTCCGTATCTATCTTTAAAAAAAAGATACTTTCCATTTGCTGCTCCAATGTGTGCTCTATGATAACCTGAACCCGGAACAAATGGTTTTACGTGTTCTCCGAAATACCGGGTTGTTGACACCAACCCGATGTTTCGGAGAACACGCACTCTCTATCTATACCGTTCCAAATTCTTATTTACTATTCAGAACGTTAACTTCTCAAGGAGACCCATCCTTTCATCCTTAATTAAATAAATTGCAAAAATACTTTGCGCTATTATGAAGATTATTATCATTCTCCAATGCCGTTTTCACTATATTACGTTACCTCGAGTTAAGATTATGTATCGACCTATTAATTCTTACGATGTCTGTACACGGAAATAAACACTTAAAATAATATTATTTTTTCAGCTCCGTTATTTACAATCTTTACAATTGATTGCCGGCGATTCGACGCACACTATTGTTTTTCCGTTCTCATTTGAGACTTTTCAGAAAATGTTTAACAAGTAGATTTTTATTATTTAATATGAAAACTTTAAATAAAAGATTCTTTTATTTTCTTAGTTTTATTTGCAAGGGATATAAATTATAATTAGTCTACCTTACTTCTAGATTGAGGTACTAAGCGGAAGGACTAGTAATCGTTTTCATTTTCTTCATGTCTGTGCTGCGCATGCGCCTGTCTTGGTGCCTGGTGCCCCGCAGGTTGTTTATGTACTGTCGCCTAGAAAACATAATTAAAAATCAATGAGATGGTCCTTCGAGCCGGTTCAGACGCATTTAGTTATTGATAACAAACGAATCACGAAATCGAAGTAGACATATTGTATAACATAGTTATCTAATTTGGTATTTAACCACATCATCCAACACCCAACGAACACAATATCGTACACATTCTAAACCACAATATTACGTAATACATAACATATGTATTAGTATCGATTGTGAACTTAAGATTTTCAATTTTGTTCCATTTTTCACATTTGAATAATGATGGTGATTATTTTTAAAGTACTGTTATTTACCTTAAATCCATTTTTAGGGTCAGCTGTGTATTTAACCAAACGCAGAGAACCATCGGGCTCAACGAGGGAGTACTCCCCGTGAACGACGTCACCGTCTCTGTATTCTTTATGGTTTTGTTGGTTTCCAGTGTGAGGATCTTCTACTCCATAGGCGTAGTGGTAGTCTGGCTTGGCCTAAAACAAATACCTATTTTATGACCTTGAGAATTGGAGAATCGATTTTCTTTTGTTTATTGATCAAACGTCAAGAGTGCTATCTAAATCTTAGTTTGATTTAATGATATTCATTTAGCAGGTATTATGACCAAGTAAAAAATTAAAATTAAATGTGACTCTTCGAGAAAGTTTTAGATCTGACTAGGGCTTTTTGTTTTTCGTATAAAACATCGAGTGTGTTTGTTTGCTTACGACATAATCAACAGTCTTCAGTCTATCGTATTTAGCTGTCTCTGGGTGGATTTTGCCCGCCTGATGATCGTATCCATAGTCAGCGTGCTGCTGGGCCGGGACTCCATGAGCTGCTGGGACCTGAACTTCAACAATCTTCCCACTAACTGGACCGCTGAAGCGGTTATATGAGTATCCAGCTGGAGCGTGACTTGATAGAGCGGAAGAAGCGAAAGCTACCAATGTTATAGTCTAAAAATAAAAAAATGGTTTAGTACAATAGTAGGTTTTTAATTTGGTGGTTTTTCCATTATCTGGTAAAAAAAAGGTATCAAGAGACTTGTACTTATATAAAAATTATATAATTTTCCTTGAAAAATCATAAACGAAAATATATATTTTTTTAATGGCGTAAGAAAACTTGGCTTGATGTTTCCTTTTATAAAATAAGCATTCCACTTTCGGCAATTGAAATAGAGTTTTAAAGTCACGAAATATATGCATGGTAATGTAGGTACCTACTTAAAAATCGTTCGTGTATCTTTAGGTTGTTACGGCGAAATCAACATGATACAACTGATATAACATTACTTCAAGCATTTGGTAAGGATCCAGGTTATCATGATATCAATTTTCTATGCCTAATTGGTTTGGTTTTGTAACCCACTGCCTCTTATTAGAAAAGACTTGTTCGATGTGAGAAATAGAAATGCGTTTCACTTTCGTCAATTATACTGTAATATTGCCGGTTCAGTAATGATATCTGGGACGACCTTCACGGTCAGCGAATTCTTACATCAGACAAACGGTGACACTGAAAAGTTGACGTCGCGATACAGAAACACGATTTGCCTATAAACACGTGCTTTTGTGAAACTTTTCAAATAAAAACTTTTTAGCGGTGTTGTGCACTTTTTTTTTAAGAGTGAAAAACACTGTCTATAGTTTACGCGAGTAGTACACATTTAAATAAAACACTTTCACGGTTTAAAACGCGATATATTAGTTAAACTTATTTGGAAATAATTTTTAACTTCGGCCCGACGTTTCGGATGCTTTGCAGCAGCCGTGGTCACGGGGAGACGCAGATCAAATGTTATATTAAATACCTATAAATTACTTAAAAATTGAAAATAAAGTCTGCATAGTGCTGTTGTCTAATCAATTGAGCTACCGAGTCCTACGAGGTGTAGGACAGGAAATTAAACAGACGTAACATACATGCTTATAAAAGCATTGATGCAAAACGAATGTCCCAGTCTAAGACTATTTAGATAACAGCAACAAAATAATGTAAAAGACATCATTAAAAATCTTTTTCATTATAGGCCGATCGAATACTTATCCCGAAATGTTTTATTTCATACGTTTAGGTGCAAATAAAGATAAAAGTAATATAAGCATATAAAAAAATAACTATAGAAAATTACCTTAAAAAATAAAGCCATTTTTATTTATTTCTGATAAAGGCTCGCGTCAATGCTCCTTGAGGGACTGTGCTGATACGAATGCCGTTGCGGTTATATACCGGTGGTGATTCAAGAAAGTATGGCCAATCGTGCTCTTGTTTAGTTCGGTTGCAGAAACTATGAATCAATATTTTCATATTTTCCAGTGCCATTTATTGTAACATTCCCGAACTAGGCCTATTTTGAAATCTGTCTGTGCACGGATTCTGTAAACCCTCGATTACTTCAGGCCTACTACGTACGAGTTAGTTATCTTAAACATTAGCATCTTCCTTAGAACTTAAAAAAGTACCACCGTTGTGCATTTTTAAAATTGTGCAATTTTTAAGGTCTTGTACCTTAACAATTGCACAATTTTGCACGAACTGCTGTAATTATCGGTAGATATAAAATTATAAGGTCAGGTTGTGTTAGTTATTCATGAAATTTCATCCTATTTTACATTTTTTATTCATTATAAATGTGCACAATTAAAAAATATCCATTTTAAATTATTAAGCTATATTTGTGTGCAATGAATGCCATGCGAATGATTCACATTGCATTCATTGCACACAAAGGGTGTAAAATGCAGTAAGTATTATTTTGGCTTTGCTCAACAAAACTCTAGTTCCTATATTGGTAGACTTATATTTTAAAGATTTCGCAAGGTGCAAAGAATAAGTAAAAAAAATAATGTCGTTTTTCATAGTTATGTTTTAGAAGTGTTAACAATCGAATGGTTTAATGAGTTTCATGCCGGCATAGCACTAAAAATATATTTCAATTCAATACTGTCTATAGTTTAAACGAGTGGTACACATTTGGCTTTTAAATAACATTTCTTTTTTGTATTTACATTTATTGTGAAATGTAAAATAGTAATTGTGTTGGCTTTATTTCAATCTGTATGTGTACATACGACAAACAGATTGATCCAATTTAAGATGTCAATTAATAAAAAATACAGTAGTTAAAATAATACTATTAACTACCGCTTCAGTAGCAACTTTCAAATTAACAATATAAATAAGAACAAGGGCAATTTGTTAGAGATAGCTTGTAGTGAAATAATTGTTAAGTGTACAAGAATTTGTAAAATTGATTTAATGAAAGGATTTTTAACAATTGAGTATCACTTTCCGAAAACTCTTTCTGTGTTAGCTAGTGCATTTATCGACGAAGGCTATAGGCTAAAACATCAGATCAGAAGATACAGGGAATGTGAACAAAACTAGAGAAAAATTTTACGTCTGTGGGTTTCTGATGCGTATGCTGCGAAAAGGGCTCAAGACGCCCAAAAAATATGTTTAGAAGAATGATTCCTCTTTAAATAATCTGAAAAGATGCCCGCGCCACTTTATGTCTATCTTTTAAAATTAACTTGCAAGAACGACGGAACCCGAACGGGACGCGACCGATGTCGTGGGTAGCTTAAATTTATAAAGATGTGGAGGTTTGCAAAAACAAATTTGGATGCCCTAAACAAAAAAGTCGCTGACACCGCCAGTAAGTACGATAAAATAAAATAATATAAGCTGTTACCTAACTGACATTCGATTTCTGACCAATCGTGACAATTCCACTAGCAACCGTCAAAATAAGAATGTCAAACAAATATTTTTAACATATACAAAAGTTATATTTTATATACGTTATAGGTAAAGCGCGCAAATTTTCGTTTTAATATAATAGTCAAGAAAAAAGGAAAAGCAATGAGTTCAAATAAAAAACCAAAAGTGGAAGAATCTACAGACAAAAAGCCAACAGACGTTGCGACGACCTTTAATAAAAACACCGTCGATACAAATATAACAGAAGATAAACAAAGCTTGAAAAGAAAGAATTTTGTAAAAGCTTGTGAACAAGTTTCTTTAAAATCATTCCTTGATTATTATGAACGATTTAAATATACCGCAGTCTTAGATTGCACAAAGCATCAATGTATTCACCAGGAACAAAACTGTGATGTACGTTCATTTTATTTTTATTATTTTCTATTGGGAACATCACTCGAAAACCGTTTGACCCAACAGAAGTGATAAATCACTAATAATTATCTTTACAGACAGTGATTAAGCAATTACCCGATGCAGTTGAAAAGTTATTTGAAATAGAAGTGCAATCACAAACATGGAATGATCTTTTGTCCTTATGTTTGCTGAATATAAATCCAACACAGTATTTATCTGATAAAAATTTGCAAAATATTGTTGAAATAATCCTGGTGAGTGAACTGTATCTATGAACATTGGAGTAACAAGTTCTTATTATTGTAACTTATACTGCTTATACTAACTAACCATAGTGGGTTAAAATAAAATGGTAAAATTAAGAAATATAAATCCTCTTTCAGAACGCCCATGACGATGATAGTGAATTACCCAGTATTTTGAAAAAATGCCAAAAAGTGCTATCACTAAGTTTTAACATGCATCCACCATGTACAATGAAAAGTATCAGAAAGTGCTACATTAACTTTTTAACATCACCCATGGACTTAAAAGAAAGTACATTTACCAACAGGTCACAATTTGAATCCAACAAAGGAATCGTTAAGTATTGTCTAACCAGGCTGGAAGCAGAACTTAGCCCAGAAAGTAAGGACGGAAAACTGTTTAATAAAGATGAAAACTTACCGGAGGAATTAAAAAATACTGTGCAAGGATACCATTGGGAAAAACAGAAGTTTGATATTTATGAAATGTTAGATCGCCCACAAAGGATATATAGACTAATGACGGTATTGGAGAGTTTAATAGAGCTATTTCAAATTGATTTAGCGATTTGGCATTCTAGGTAAATATTTACTAATTTGCTGCATTTAATATTTAATAGAAATTATACAGAATTCTGTTTCTTATCAAAGTATGTACCTTTAAACTAAATTTTTTTTAATTATTCCCCTATTCAATATTAGGTAACCACTTCTCTCATTAATGTTTATAGAAAACATTCACACAGAACTTACTTACGTAATATGTAATGTATAATTATTATGATGATGTGATTACATTGATACATTGGTTGTTGGACTTCTAGATTTCCCTGCTATGTTTTTCATGAGAACGTTTGTTGGTCTAGTGGCTAGAGCAACTCGTGTCACACTCCTTAATTGCATATCATATAAATTTTGTCATATAATTCCAGGTACACCAACAACATGGGTTCTCATATTATGAGGTCACACAGGCCACTGATGGCATATATTATGTGGTCCCAGAACGTTCTGTATACTGGTGCTGTTACACAAAACACAAGGCAAATCATGAGACTGTTTGTTAATTTCGTTTACCTTGAATATTCTGTTTGGCATATTAGAATTATCACAGTAAGTATTTATACATATAAATGTAATGTGGCTTTGTGGCAGACATTTCTCTGTTGGTCTTACTGCACAAAATAATTACCAGAATTCAGTGTTCTGCTCAAACAGAAACATATGTCAATATTTCTGTTTGGTCAGAACAGAAATATTTACATATATGGAATTTGAAGCTTAGCTTCACCGTCTCCCTTGAGCCACCGAGGGAATAAAATAAGATACCATATAGACAATGTATATGGTGTCTTTGGTTATGTGATATACATTGTGTGAATATGCCCCACTATGCATAGATACTGGCCTGGACTATCCTGTTTATGGCTTGCTTATATGTCCCTCATAACAACAAAAACACTATGATGTAATTTTGTTAATTTAATTTCTTTTATTACATTATAGTCATTTAATGGTAATTAATAATATGTACTCTCTACTTTTAAGATGTGGTTGAATACTATGATTGAAACATTTTACATGTTTGAAACTAAGTCCAATGCTGATTATCCCAATATTGGAAAGTATTGCTGTGCATTTGCGAAAGAGTTTTACAAAATAATTTTAGGTAATGTCAGCAAATTTTGCATCTGTGCAATAAATTTATTTGGAAAATTATATTATTGATAAAATAATTGTTTATTTTTATTTACAGAAAAGCCTTCCACATCTTTTATAAGAATATTAGAAAAAATTGAGCCGAAACTTATGAAATATTTAATCAGTATACATCACTTGAATACTATTCTACCTGGAACAAATGAAGATGACATTATAAATATTTTTATAAACTTTATTGAAAATGAGGAATGGAATAAGTTTCCCATTAGAGAAAAGATAATTGCCTCTCCGAAGCCATTAAAAACGAAGCATGTAAAACCAAATAGACTATTAGACCATTTAGCCAGAAAGTGCCAAAAAGCAATTGAATCTGTCAACGTTGCTGCTCACAGAAACATGTATCCAAAATTAAGTTTACATGAGAGTGAGAATGATGTTATTGATAGAAATGATGTCATAAATTTGATTTACATGTCTTTAGATGCATACTTGCATGTGTACAGAATAAGTGAAATTCAATTTAGGTGGAATGCCCTTAATGATGATTTAGACAGAGGAATATATTCTTTCAATGTAAGTGAAGACAGGTCCACTTATTCAGTAAGTGAATCTTTCCTCAAAAAATATAGATCCATATTTCAAAGATTAAAGGATCTTATGCTAATATTGCATAATTTAAAAACTAATAAAACATTCCCAGAGATACTTATGATTTTCAAAAGTATTGATTTGTTAAGTTTGTAATTATTAATCTTATATGCAATGGTTATGATTATTAATAAAAAAACTGGCTTTTTTTATAACTTCCTTTTATTATTGTAATAAGCTAGGTATTGTAATATCTAAGTACAAACACATATTCTAATATTTTGGTACATAATGCCCTCTGGACTTCTTGCTTTGTTTGGCCTTTTCTAGATCTACATCTGGATATGCTGCTTTCAGTGCATCCATATCCATGTTAGGGAAACGTTTCAAGAGCTGCTGCACATGATTGAAGTCTCGGTTCTTAGCCTTTCTTTTAGTATTATAAAGTTTTTCCTTGTATAGTCTGAGAAACTTCTTAACAGATACGCTGTTGATGTAACCATGCTCTAAGTAAGGTCGTACCCACCTTGTATTCATAAAGCTTGGTAAATGATACTCTTTACGGTGGTACTTTTCTGGCAAACCAAACATGTTAATAACATCATCTACTGGTTGCTCTCCTGTCTCTCCTGTTTCTAACTGATAGTATGCAACATTTCTCTCCCTAACGACAGTTTCTATATTGTTCATGGATTCTTGTACTTTATCGATTCGCTCGGGATTTGGAAACAAGCGAACATTTACATTACATTCGTGTTCCATTGTATATAGCATGTTACGTTCTTTCAACAGAACATACCATAACATGTGTAAATCAGCGTTAGATTTAATACGTAGTTCATCTAGTTTCCATGCTCTACCAACTTTTATGTCTGTCTCATTCCAGTTTTTCTTAATGTCGAAGAATTCCATTAAATCATTTCTCACGCCAGTTGTATGTATTTTCGAATTGAAAATCACACCGAGGGAGGCAGTATTATTTTTTAAATGAGTACAGGCCGTCACTGTTGAACGGCCAATTATTCTAAGAAGTGAAAAGCTCATTGTGATAAAGTAAGCTAAACTTAATTATAAATACAAGAAAATCCCTTGAATGTGATAATTTTAATTAAAAGAATGTTATAATTCATAACAAATGCCGAAAGAGTATTCCGAATGTCAATTGCCACATGGTGATGTATAGCAAAATACTACAGATAGAAACTCTTAAAGGTTAACATTTTATCAACATTACGACGTCTAATGTTTGAGACAAGGAAATATTTTTAATAGTTTACTAGTTTCTGGGGTACTTATAAGCACTATTACTCGTTAGTTAATAATGTAGGTTCCATTTCAACTCTTTATATACCTTAAAAGTGCTTAATAATCAAGTCAAACTTAAACCACAGAAAGCCGAAAATCTTCTCTATAATTTTGGTAGCATCTATATCAATATAGTTAACTGTCTAAATGACAGCTTGACACTGTTGTTGAGCTTGTGCAATACTGTCATATTAATTTGTATTATGTTACAAATTACAAAATCATTGTCAAATATTTTTGAAATTAGAAGTTTTCGTAGAGTTAAATCACCTTTTTTATACAGTGAATGCGGTGTGATTACGGTTGAAAACTTGGTTCAGTGATTATTCATTAAAATTTTATTGAGAACCATCGAAATAAATTCTTGTTTTTGTGTGTAACGGCATGTTGTTCAAAGCGTTTCGGAATACCTCAAGCCATCGTTTTGAATTCCACAAAAAAGGTACGATTAGTGTATGTTTAATTATATGCTGAGCCGGATTAACCATATCATAGTTTTAGTTTACAATTGCCTGAATATTGTACAGTGATGATTAGAAAATAAGCTTTTTTGTGCACTTTTAATATAAATATATTTACTTGATTCTAACTATACAGTTTTTAATATCTAACAATTAAAAAATCAAGGTTTATGTATTATCCACAAAATATTAAGAAACTACATACACTTACTATTTATTATTATTATCTTTATTGTTTATTTAGTTTGTCTATAATCATATACATATCAAATTTATTAATAAAGGTAGCATTGACTTAAGTAAATACATTGAAAGTACCTTTCTTAGATTCTAAGTTTAGAGAAATATTATATTATAATATTAATATGCTATAAAAAATAACATGCAAGGCTGTTGTTGTAGTCGGACGTTTGTCCGTACAAAAGAGATATTTATGATTTTAACTTGTATCAGCTGTTGTGATCATTTAAGTTAAATTTTTATGTTCCTCAAATTAATAAATTCTATAATTATAATAATATATGAATATGAATGTTACCAAAGATATTCTTAGAATCAGTTAAGAATGGCGCAGATACCTTTCTATGTTCATTTCACATAATTTATTTTGGTACATATCTGTGATCAGTTTGTTTATCCATTATAGGACACAGTTGTTTTGTAATTTGTAATAGAGATAACTTGTTGATTTCTTGCATTGTCTGCTAGTTATTCTTAATTATTATCTCTACTTTTTCAGGTAAGATGCTGAAAAAAATACACTAATAAATATTAATACATTCCAAGAACCATTTGGATATGAAGTTATTGGTTCTAGGTAAGTAGTGTTGTTGTTGTAAGTATGGAAGTTTAGTTGCATTTATTTATTTCTTTATAAATTTCTACTTCATTTGAAGCCCTATTTTTTAGATATACACATACACCTCTCAAGACACTCACAGAGTTATCAGCGCTATAATTTTATATATTTAGTTTAAATACAATTAGCATCATACCATGACTGTATGTGTTAACTACTCGTTCTCGAAATGATTAAGAATAACATGTTATAACTTTATAGTTTTTATATGATTATGTACCTGCTTCTAGAAAAAAATTAAAGATTATCGAAACTGCTTGCTGTTGCCTGAGCCCGTGGTAATAAGTTTATTGATTTGAATGATTTGGTTATTTTTTTATGCTTGTGGTGGATATTTGGTCTAGCAAATTTGCTATAAATTATTCTTATCCTTAATTCATCCTATTGCATAAAAATTCACCTACTTTTTAGATCAGCATATATAAGACATCAAATATCAAAATTGATTTCTTTGATATATATTAAAAATCGATAATAAATTGAAAAAAAATCGACTCGGGCAAGGCTTCAACTGGCATCGTCAGCGTTCCGAGCTGCTGCTCTGTCAATTAACCTACAGAGTCCTTCACCTCATCGTCGAATTTTTCGAAAATTTAACAATTAAAGTTTCACATGTTATTTCATCGTCATGCACCGCCTTTAATTATACCAGTAGAAATTCTAAGACGTTCAGTTTCTGATAATCCCATGAAGAGAACACAATTTACAATCGCGTGTTCGTTTGTACCAATTTGAGAAGTTACCACTCTATCAAAGTATTAAGTCGACAACACACACGAACTACCTAACACGTAAATGATAAGTAAAAAGTTTTATATTACTTGGCTTGGATAATGCCTGAAAGAAAGTTCTCGTAAGCCAAACTTTGGGACGTAATCCTCTTCTACGCGGCTTACTGTATTATTAAAAAACATTTGCTTTTACTTTCTCTTTCTTAGTAAATTTTAGGCTACGAATAGGATAAGTAATTCCAAATATAGATAACTTCATACAAGTATAAAACATTTTACTATACAACGATTGCCATCACTGAAAACATTAATTACGAATAATTCTTCCGACAGTCTCTCTTATACCTTCTCATCTCCCTTTTGGGGAGACGTAAAACTTATTAGAATATATACATAACGTCATCGTTTTGTATTACGATCTGCTACTACTACTTCGTTTGAGTTAATAAGTAAGTTTTACATTTTAAGCTACTTACTTAATTTTCCTTGTTAAATTTACTTTAAATGTTTATAATTTAATTACTCAAGCGCTCATGCGAAAGGCGGTAATCACGCTTAAACGTATTTTTTGGTAGGAACTGTGGTCAACAGCGAACTGGTCGTGGATTTAATTCCAGCAGGATCTAACTTGTTTATGTTTGACCCTCGACTGAAAAATATAGATAAATTTGGTGGTAGGATAATCGAAACTTCGAGTGGAGACAATCCGCGTTTTGATTTCAGTCTACAGACTCCACAGAGTTTCTAACGAAAAAAGTACTTAGACAGTCTATCTTTTAATATGTTATAGGGCTACGGTATATTTCCATCAATCAATCTTTGCCATGATAAACGTATCCACAGGACGTATCCACCAAACCAGCTTTACGGCAACTCCGAAAGACAATATTGATGAAATATTTGAAATGCAAAGTAGATAGAACATTCACGGGAAGGGCTTACGCTGAAAACCATTTACTTAAGCATATTTTGTGAATCTTGAGTGGCATTTTTCAAAGGGTCGCAGATCAAAAGCCATCGGAGCGAATAAATAGAACGTGGATACCTATTTCTTTGTGTTTGTTAAGGGGCTACTTTCCATTTATTGGATGCCGATTTCATTTTTTACGGATCTCGTTGTCTGCGGGAACAACTGCCCAATTATTTTTTATGAGGCCCTATCAATGTTAGAGTAATGGGATCTACTCGGTTCGGAATACTCAATTCTAATACTATTCTTAACCCGAATAAGTGGAATTGTTAAAAATCACACTACCGTTTAAGATTGTATTAGCAAGTGTGCTCCTTATGAAGCGTTGTCATCAGCGCAACCAAACGCTTCTATGAATTATTAAAAAAAGAACGATTTTTAGGGGTACTAAACTAGTGTGTACTCGTTAGATGAAAGTTTGAAAGCCTACCATAATTCAAATCATTTTTTTATTAAGTATAGATAAAGAACATTTTTGTTGACGACAAACATTATAGTTTATATCGGTCAGAGGCCAAGGGATTGAAGTCTAATCAACCAGTGAAGAAATATCGGTAAATAAAACAGACATAGAAATGTATCTGTTCCATGATTTCACTTTGTATACTAAACTATTATTTTCGTCTGAATACATTAGTATTCAGAAGAAAATAAACCCTGTATTTCTTTATTGATCTAAGTATAAGATGTTTGTAATTATCTTCCTAATCTTTATTGAAATAACCTTGGCTTCTATGTTGCGCATTATACTAAAAGTTTGAACTACTTTGACGGGTGCGTTATAAAACACATTGGACTTCGTCCGGAAGTAGATATATTCAATTAGTATTGAATACTAGGTACGGAAGTAGATATATTCAATTAGTATTGAATACTAGGTACGGAAGTAGATATATTCAATTAGACGAAAAACAGTTTAGTTTCGGTTTCAGTCTGGATTTTCGAATATCCATAGCCAAAATAGGCCGACAACGCATCTCGTTGAGATGTTATATAGCCGGGTCATTTCACCTATCAAGTGAAAAAAAAATCTTTTCAAACAAAGAAGTTATCTTAAATTGCTCCTCATATCGTCGTTTCAACGAATTCGTAGTGTTATTCTAAAGCGATTGCACGCTGTAGTAAGCTAATTGTTTTGGCCGCTCCGAAGCCTTTCCTTGCCAATATTTATAAGGAAACAGGGTCAACTGTCTCTTCCGTAAACCGGCGATTAAAGCCTCACTGCCAAATGACCCGTCTAATGCACCCTAATTCCTGTCCCGCTCTGTGTTTTGGGATTTAAGTGTCGTTCGCTTGTACACCTTAGACTAAATTGTCTTGGCAAGACTGTCTTATAACTGCCTACTTGATGTAGAGGTTAGGTAGTTGGTTGCGAGTGCTCGAGTTCCAGTGTTCGTGTCCCGTAACGGAAAGGTTATAACCGTAAAATGTTCTTTTCATTGTTTACTACTTACGTAAACATTTAGTAATGTTTCAATAAGTAATCATATTTTTTTATTTAGTGATTTGCGATCTAGAGTCGCCGGGGTCTCCATTGATCAGAAAGGACTGGTTATTAGCATTTGTTACTTATCTACTACTACCACAATAAGTAAATAAAAACTTATTAAAATTATTATGACGTATAGTATTAGCTACTAACATTAGTTTATGTACTTTACTTTTCTAATTTTAATCTTTTAATGGCTTTAGTGCAATTCTTAAGAAAAATGGTTTCC